CTGATGTTACGTCTTCGCTTTCCTCTAATGAGGCTGTGATGGTAGTGAGACACATACTAAGGGCATAAGGAAGGGTGCCAGTTAGCTCTTTCGTTTTTGAGCGGACATTTTCCTGTCTTACGCCTCTTCCATACTCCTTAGCAAATTCTGGCATCACAGTTTCTCGCCTTGTGTCTTCTTCTTTGCTACCTGTTCCTTCAGTGATTGCTGACAGCTTGTTAGGTCGCGTCTTGATGTTTGGGGGTTCACCTTTGATAATTTTCTCCGGATAAGATGAATTGGTCCCAGTGAAATATGAGAAATTCTTCTGTTAAATGCGCAGCATATCGTCTTCCACGCAGCGCGCTCTTCTGTAAGCGTAGTTAGCCACTGTAGGCATGTCGTGGTCTGCTCGCATTCCTTTGAAATAGCATTCCACGCCCAAAGTTGTCATACTTTCGAAACAGATCCTGTCCAGAAGGTGACTATGCCCAATCTCCGTTGGCGTGTTAGTAAGGCTGGTCAGCGATTCTAGCACTATGAGGAAGGAATGTCGGGTGCATCGAGGTATGGTCATGTCGGGACCGTTGGTATTTCGCTTGCCCGTCCTCTCCAGGGCTTCCTGTTCGTGGTTAGAGAGAAATGCAACCAACTCCTCGACAGATTTCACATGATCTTCAAATGTACGTGGTAGGTCTTCTTCTTTGGCTTTCTTGTCGAGTCGGAACACGTTTGCATATTGGGCCATCTTACTTTGCAGGGGGATCAGTCCCTTTGCTGACGTCAACATTCTTATTGCTACGTTACCGGTATCGCATACGAAAACAGTGTTTCGATATACGCATAAAGCAGTAGACTTGTTCCATCGACTTCGACGATGGCCTGCAGTTTCTCCACAAACTTTTGTTAGGGTTTCTTTACCCCCAAGCATCTCTTCTTCCTTCAAACTGAACAGTGCGTGTTCTTTGCTGGAGGACAAGAACACGGTTCCACCATCTGTCACTGCAATACCCATGAGGCCTGGAATATTCGAAATTGTTCTCAGTTTCAATCGTCCTCTCACTTGACAAAGATGAATACATGAACCATTCCCGTCTCCAACTAACAAGTATTGCTCGTCATGTGTTAAGGCTAATGAAGTTAATAAACTAGATCGATCAAAACAAAAGAATTCATTTAACTGGCCGACGCAGTTAGCTTCCTCATCGTCTACAACACCAGAAATTGAAAAAATCTTGCCAAGACCAACGTCTGACACAAACAGTTCAACGCTACCCTTTGCAGACGCACATATGTCAAATGGTGACACCAGATCCGGTACATTACCTTCAGAAATAAGGGAAAGATCGTGTACATGGACTTTACGGATACGTCTACCGGCGCAATCTTCTTCCTCACTTTGGCTTTCTTCGGCGCTCCCTTGTACAATCTGGGAAGCGTGACAGAAAAGCGTTCGCAAATTGACTACTCTAACTCTTCCGTTTCCTTGGTCACAAATGTACAGCTTCCCGCTCTCTTTCACCGCAATACCAGCTGGGTTTCTAAACCTGGCCTTGTTGCCATATCCATTAGTGTGCCTGGGCTCACCACCACCAGCGATTAATGTGACATTTGCTGGACAGTGCATGTCAACCATGAAGACTGCATGGAGACGTCTATCGGTAATAAACAGCCTGCTATGCTTTGGGGAGAATGCCAATCCTACCGGGGAGCTTAAAAGAGAGGCCCCGTTCTTTTTCCAGTGCTTGAATTCCAGTTCTGGAACTAATGTTGTGCTCACTCTTTCATCTGGAATGGAATCTTGAATCCCTTTCCGGTGAATCTCCACTGCTGTTTCTACATCTATCCGATCTTTGTTTCGAACTGCTTTCAATGAAACTGATTTCTTGATGTCTTCGTATTCTCTACGTATCCATCAATGTCAATCCAATGCCAAAACTCTGCAGAACGTACTGACTTGATGTTGTGTGGGCAGTCAGGAATAGGGACTTGGTATGGGGTACTTCGCCCTGTCTGCTAGCATGGAATTCATAAAGCTCTTTTGCTTGGGATCGCAGTCAGCGAATTTATAGACGTACGTACCTTTCCGAGTCATGCTTTTTCTTGTGCTTCCCCATGCTGACAAAGATTGATAACGATCGATTGAGAAAAAAATTCAAAGTGATCTCTCGAGATGTCTGATTTCGACTGATTGAATCTGGACTGAATGAAAGACACCACGTCGACACCACGCGCAGCATGTCATTCTTTGAGTGACACTGATGACATGTGCCTGAAATTAAAGAAGCCAGTAACTGCAACCACAGCGACTACTGATACTAAGGCCAAGAATAAGGATACTTTATATTATTTTTCTTTTGACGTTACCCGAAATCCAAAAATTAGTTCCAACTGCGCCCAAACAGGAAAGGAATCTAAACCTCCGACTCCAAAAGCGCAACGGGGAAAAAGGTCGAAAGGTCCGGTCGAAAGGGTGTCTTATAAAGAGCGATAATATACAGTAATATGAATCACTCCCTGGGATTCTGTCACGTCATTATAATGTGACCATTGTTTCAAATTGATACCCGATATGTCACAATGACAAGGGATGTTCCTGCGAGGGAAACACGCGTGAACATGCCTGTTGCGCGTCCTTGCGACAAGCGATTTTCACGCAACAGCCGCTAAAGGAAAAGAAGAGGCCTTGGAACCATCACCACAGAGTGGATTCCAGCAACCTGGATTCTGGATTACAAAGCTTGGATTCCGGATTCCATTAGCTGGATTCCGGATTCCAAAGCCGTGGATTCCGGATTCCACAGACCAAAATTACCTGGATTCCGGATTCCGGATTACCTTACATGGGGCGAAGCGGAGCTCTGGCGCGCCTGTGGAGCACCATGGGTAAGAAAATTTGGTAATCACGTGACCGTACACCGCCCGCAGCCCGCCCGTCCGTCCGCACCACAGGAGAACCAATGTTCAATCTCACACTTTCTAGCTAGTTTGGTAGCACAGGAAGACTAATATTGCACACATATTGTACATCAATGTTGTGATCAATTGACAGTTGTCAAAACAGGGTATCCACTGACCAGTATCACCTGACCGTATCGCGGGCTCAGGTGTAGACCCATCGAGGTCGAGTATCTTTTTAAAGTTGTCCGCTGACAAGTTACTAGTTTTCAAATGATCGCAGGCTCAAGTTTAATTTTTTTTAAATTCATATGAAATATGTTGTGTTTCATATGTGTCGCACAATTAAAATTTTGATTTCAAACTGACCTCGGAAGCTAAAATTCAGCCAGTTTTTACAGGCAGGGAAGACATGCCAGTTGCTTTTGACTTTTCTCAATAAGGTCACGCGTTGGTCACGCTCTACGTCCAATCTTTATGCTCTGATTGGTCAAAATTTGACAGGTGAGTTTACGCAGAAAATTTATGAAGCATCTTGAACAGTTGAAACTTGTTTACTTTGACAGCTGAAGCTGACAGAGTTTTGTGTCAACTTGTGATGTTTTTAACTGTCTTTCTCCGCTGAATGTACAAAATGAAATTCTGCTGCTATCAAGAGTCTTCTGTTATTCATAGCTAGTTTGTTTATTGGGTTTTTGGTTGAGAAATACGTCGCTTGTCAAAGTCGGAAATCCGATTTCGGATGGCATCGTTTTCGTTTTTCACCTTGCTTGATGCATAAGAGGGTTGAAAAGTCTGAAGTGATTCTGGACTTACTTGATAGTTTTCAGAGCATCTCGAATGGTAAGCCTGAGTAATTATTGTATTTGATTTTTGTTTTTTATATCTAATTTAATGAAGTCGGGCGTAGTTTATGCGCCTATTTAGTTTATGCACGTTTGTAAGATTTGAGACAATGATCGATGTGACCGAGTGTCAGGTTTGATTATAAGCTTACAGAACTTTAAAAAGCCTTTAGACATTTTCTCACTGCAAATAGAAAGAAAACGTTCCAAAGAATATTTAGTTATAATTCTGGCTCTAACAGAAAGCTTTGAGCGATTTTCTTGCCTCGAGTTCATCTTTGAAAAAAGCAAACGCTGGGAAGCCGGCTTAAAACATAAACAAGGATTTTCAGAGACACTTTTTACTTGTCTTCGTGAATGAAAATTGTTGTCTCTGTATATGTTTCACCGAATTATTATCCTTTTATTGATTGTTAGTAGTCTCTTTTGCAATTTTAATCGCTGTGCCGTTTGTTTTCCGTCGCTCACGAACATCGCTTGCAGGAGTAGTTGCCGCGTGTATCAAACGCTTTTGAAGATTACACATAGTTATAAAACCGTTAAATATATAAAGAAATAAACATAATAAATTTAAATTTAATTTTTAATCATGTTAAAGCGTATAACTCTATTAATCTTGATTTAAACAGTCGACTTTGGCACTTGTCAAAAGTGAGAATCGGCAAGCCGTATAGGTGATTTAAGAAATTTTTTTAACGGTTTCGGTAAAAGCCCACGCGTGCTTCGATCGACCTGAATGTTGAGTACAGTGTATTGCAAAATTGTGATCTGTCCGCGGTCTGTATGATAAAAACAGTGCTCATGGTACTGTTTCACCTCATGTGATGTATAAAAAATATAAAAGGTTGGTTTACACGTCCCCAGACTTGTTAGCAAGATTTTGTAAAATAAATTGTAAAGTTGTCGAACCCAAAAAATTGGGCCTGATTTGTTTTCCGAGAATTTGTTTTCCACGCCTAATCTACTGTGATCAAGAGCCATTTAATATGGCTCTTGAATGTCATCGAAGATGATTGCTATTTTTTGGGTGTACATATAAGGCTAAATATCAACTCGATGTAAGATTACGTTCACTCTTAGCTTGGACTGTTTGCAAATTATTTTTCTCTAAAATCACTTAGCCTTTCCCTCAAAAGTCACATGAATGTGGTCTAAAGTTAACTGATTTGTAAAATACAATTGCAAGTTTATTGTTTGATTTAAATTATAAATTCGAGTTAATAGGAGCTTCGCTTTTAGCCCTGGCTAAATCTATATATTAGAGACGGGGGCTTATTTAAAGGGGTGGGGCTGATAAGAGGACAAATGACCCCCAATGTTGCGGCACTTTGATAGAGAGCTTTCATTAAACGCGTTGATTTTTATTAATGACCACTTCAAATATTTGATAGGCAATAACTACTTTGCAATAACAGGAATTTAACTTGACAATCTCATTCAGAGGTTTTATAGGCACATTTTTTGGTACATACAACAAACTTTAATTGGCTCTTAAAAATACTCTCTCGTTCATGAACAATGTATCCAGACTGCTCGGGGGGACGAGTCTCCTGGGAATGTAATGTGGACATTCGTCAGTAAATTAGAATTAGGCTCCTAAGAGAGAAATCTAGGTATGGCTTGGCTAACCCTTGAAAAAGACTATACCAAACAAGAACACTTTTACAGCGGCGTTCAGTTCTGTCTCGCTTGCTTAGAGATTAGATCGAGAAATGAGGAGGCGATTAACTCTACACGAAACAGGATTCGCTAAAGGTTTTTTACTTCCCACTTTATCGTCGTCGATACTTTTTAATTTGTTTCTGAATTGATTTAGTACGCGTGTTAGCGACGACCCGAAATACGTCTGCGGTCGCAGGCTATACGAGTGTATAAATACACGAAAATTCAAGGGCCTCGATTCCAGAGAAATTACATCATTGCCAGAGATCAAAGAAGTGATTTACATGGCACTTCATTTCAATCATCGCCGAAAATAAACCGCATGCCCATCACAAGACCATTTGTATACAAGGAAAGTTTACTGATACCCGAACATAAAGGGTTTTGTTAATTAACATTCTTATTTTCTTTCGACCACTCAGTAGTGTTCACTTGTTCCAAAGTAATCAACGCTTTGAACCGATAGAATTCGTGGACCGACACGTTGCGGAAGAGCTCTAAATTTAATCTTTCCTAAGCTTTCTTCGCAAATCATGCGTGGCTTCGATCACGCAACAATTCTTATTCCCAGTTTCCACGGTCTCTTCTAGGAACGCCTGGCACAATGACTCCCCTTTTGTGTCCTAAATACGAAGAAAAACGCGTTGCAGATTATGAGTCTCGCTGCTTACGCAAGCGAGACTAAAAAGACAACAAACTAAGAGCTATTGTGATTTTCATTGTGATAAAGAAGTTGGCATAGAATGCTGTACTCTTTTATTTTGTTTAATATGAATTACTTCTTAAGTTCTCCGTCGGTGACTTTCCATCCTGAGCACCTTAGTCTAAGTTTCACTACCATGAACAAGTTTAGTCTAATGACCTGCGAATACAGCCGTTAATCTCTCCTCGCTCGTCGATCGTCTTAACTAGGTCTATCCAAATATTTCTAATTATTACCAGACATGAACGAGTTAGTTCTGCCGCAGTCAATCCAACTCCCTTCGTCCACGATTAAGCACAGACGGGAAATTTACAAAATTTGCGATTTTTTTAGTGTGATAACGAATAAAACTGAAAGAATTCTGTCGATAAAAGTTCATGAATACACAATTCAAGGAGGGGGGGGGGGGGGGTAAAATGTCAGTTGTCAGTTAAAATTTTGGCTATTTGTCAGTTGTCAGTTAAGTTTTAGGCTTTTTGTCAGTTGTCAGCTAAATGGTTAATAATGATTAACGTATGAAATTTATTTGTATATTTTTGTTGCGAAATTAAGCTTAAAAGGCGCATATGATGTAAAATAAAAATTAAATTCGAAAATCTTATCAGTTTTGCTATTGTAGGCATTTCAAGTGGCCCTCCATTTCTCAAGTCTTCTGTTACTCTCCTTCGCTTAAACGTTTTTGCTGGGCAGAGCCCAACATTTCCAACCATTAAGCCAATCAGAATTTATACCTTCAGAATATTCACTTGGGAAGTAGATCGTAAGAAAGACCAAGATAGACCGTATTTGAATCATCTCGGTAAAAACTCAGGGGCACCCAAAGTCAATTTTTGGAAAATATCTGTTCGAAAGACGATCTGAGATCTAGAATTTTTGGAACATTTGTTGTAAAATTTCTTGCTCGCCGGCCTCTCCTAGGATTTTCGAACATCTAGAAAATGGTATAATTGCCCATTTTTAACGGATTTTTACCCTAAAAAGGTCACCTAGAATTTTCGGGAGCCTTTATTCTGGCTGAAATTTTGAGAGGTAAGTTTTGACCCCTATAATTTTCGGATCACTAGACTTTCAGCTAGGAAATCCGAACAGATGAAAAATTTTTAGAGGATAAAAATATGCCTATATTTACCGTTTAAATACAAAAATACGTTCAACAATGCTATGTTTAGGTGGTTTTGAACTATTTTTCGTCGGGTGCCTCTGAAAACTTGCAATTGTCTTTGTAACGCCCTGATTAGCAGCCGCGGTATGCTGGCGCGTTCTCGGAGGAGCGTAAATTTGAGATCATCGGTCATTTACAAAAAATGCATATGGTACATGACACACGTGGGTTTTACACATGGTTGTGGCTAGATGGAATCCCTCAGAAGGAAGTGATCGAGGAGGACTAGAAACGAGAGTTGCTTCGGCGATCTTCGGCTCGTGCGTTGCGTTGGTTTCAAATTAAGCCGAGTGGCTCTAGGGAAGAGAATGATCGCGATTTAGGTCTTAAAATAGCTCCTTTTGTCTGGTATTCGATTATGGTCTTAAGTTCCCGTCTTTTCTTTTCTTTTCTTTCTTATAACCAGGGACGAAGTCTGTATTGATTGAGCTGCAAGATGTGCATTGACTTTCGAGAGAAAAAAAAATCGAGTCTGCAATATATTTCGGGGTTCTTTTGTCTCTATGTAAATCGTCCTTGTTCAGGGTTTTTTATTCTCCAGACATCAATTAGGTCTAAGTCTCCACAGTAGCTATTTACGACTTCCAACGATTTTTTGTGGGTTTTTGCAAGGCCATCTTTTTTAATCTTTCTCAACATCCAGTACTAAATTGTAGTCCCCGTTAACATACTATTTTACATTTGTGGACTTAGTACCCTAGCCTTCGAGTGAATCCGAGGCTGAGGTTGACCATGTTTGGATACAAGCTTCATTTGCTTTGTTATGGAAATTGCCCTTGAAAAATACCAGTTAGCATAAGAACAGGGAGGTTTGTATACAAACAAGGACACCTCCAGCCTCGCTTCCATCCATAACTGTAAAATGGCCTTTTAATTATGACCTCATCGCACTTAATATCTGTTAAACGCTCAAAGACCGAAGTAAAAAAAGTTGGATCATCATTGAGAAGGAGCGTATAAATTTACCAAGGTTAATTGTTTCCCGTTAATTGTTTCCTGTAAGTCACAGTTTATAAAGCGTTCCCAGGGTCGCAGTATGCTCTCGAGATTTTAAAGGTGAAAGTATTGTTAAACAATATGATAACACCTGCCTTTTTACCGGAGCAGCAGTTGAAAAGGGCCTGATAACCCCATTCAGCTCGTCAGTCATGCATATAATTTTCAGTGCAATGAGCTTCTTGAATAAAATACATTGCCAGTTGTTTTTTCCGTAACCAATTAAAGAATGCCCATCGCTTGATTCTGTCTCCCAATCCCCTGGCATTAATTAAACCAGTTGTAAGATCCATTTCTTTTGTTGCTGCAACGAAAAAAGAATCTGACAACTTTCATCCAAAGAATAATAGCATGAGAGATTATTCCGATTTGTGCAAGTGAGATATATAGTATCGGTTTAATATAAAAGGTCTAAAATGGAAATATTTCAAAGCACGGAAAGTAAAGCAAAATAGAAAACAGAAAAAAAAAACGAAAAAAAAAAAAACCACAAAGACAAAGTTAAAATGTTCCCTTGCAGAGGTGGTAGCTTTGCATCTCTAAGATGTAACTAGCCGCCAAAAAAAAAAATATATTAAATTTGTCCTAGTATTACATTTATGAGACTTGGCTTTGCGAAAGTGCAAAATTACAGTCTACGATTTTATTTTTGTAATATTCATCTTTGAATAAAAATGTCAAAATACAAGGAATGATATCTCTGAATGAACACCAAATGTTGAGAGCAAAATTATTATCTAATGGTAATCTTTGTTCAGTTTATTATCAACGCTATTCAGTTCGCGGCCGGGGATCGATTATACTCCAATTTACTCTTAATTCTCCTTCTCCTTTTCTTTTTTAATATTGCTTTTTGGACCGTGAGGTTATTGAAATTATGTGTTCACTATATTTGCTGTATTACTTCCCAAAATTTTTAATTATGTTAAGACCGCTTTTTATGTACAAATACATGTGATTTTACAGTGAAAGGACTCTGGAAAAAACTCTTCTGCATTGATGTTTTACTATACAAAAACAAAACAAGCCAAGGAACCTCAATAATATTTTTCTCTTTTAAACTTTATTGAATTCCACACTTGGAAAAATATTTCCTGTTAATCACCCGAGGAGGACTTGCGTTACGGCGTATCCAAAGTTGGTAAGGAAATCATAAAGAGACGAAAAATCATGTGATTTGTAAGAAAAGCAAGTCAAGTGAAAACGAAGGGTTGTTGGGTGTATGCAAAACATAGACCTCCGGTCCATGGACCACTACAACATGGACTACCCCTGTGGACCATCCCTAATTTTTTAAGATGAATTTTTCAAGAGGTCAGAAATGGATTTTAGGAACCTTAATTTGGCAAAACTGCTGTCATTTTATATTAACAGGGTTATGGGCTCCTCATATTATACACCTGTTTAAATTTCCTTGATCGAATTCCATTTAGTCTGGTGAAGGAGTAGCAAATTATATTATAGGGAGAAATTAGCCTCAGTGAGCAGACGTTTTTTGGGGGGTCATCGCTTTGCATACCCTTCCCAGAGTTCCCTTCCCTTCGCTTACTAGCCCATAGAATCGTTTATTTAGAATCCTGCTCCGGGATTAAGCACAAAATGACGTGCATATAACTGTTGTGTCCGCAAAGCTTGTCAGACGTCTGACCAACCACATTGTTTTAAAATTTGCAGGTCATTTTGTGCTTGATCTGTAAGCAGGATTCAATACGTTTGCTGATAAATATTAATTTTTTCTGAGGGCTATCAAGGGAAAGATAGTCTAACGGAGGGTAGACAATCATCATGCGTTACCTGTCGTTACGCAACGCTTCGGCCCTACCTCCCCCCCCCTTCAAATATTGTTACTCGTTCACCAGACCAGCTAACCCAACCTATTACATTCATGGATTCATGGAGTTCAGGAAAAATTGGACCAAGTGTATATGAGGGGTCTTTAATCCTGATAATAGTTATATACAATTTATCGACACAGATTCGTCCATTCAAGGTTCTTAAAACTCGTTTAGACCTTCAGTAAAATTCATCTTCAATAATTAGGGGTGGTCCGCAGGGGGTAGTCCATGGACTTGGGGTCCATGGACTAGGTCCACTGGGGTGGTCCATGGACCCGGGATCCATCTTTTGTATACCTCCGCTTTTCGGTACAACACATAATTCACGTCAAAAGTCACGTGGGATTTTGACTGCGAGATTTTTCGCGCGAAACAAGACGCTGTGGGATTGTAGACTTGGGCGTCATTGCATAAAATTATTATGGATTGTGCTAGTAAAAGTAGCATACAGTATTAATGCTACTAGCAGTGCCCGATTAACAATGCTTGTTTTTGAAAATTATGCAAAATAATACAGAAACTATTCTTCTACTTTTTACTTTAAATTTGGTAAAAATGCTTATTAATGACGATTAATGCAAAAAACGACAAATAACGAGAGGATAAATAGACACGCAAAACTTTGAAAGAAGGCAAATCCATTTTTAAGTGAAGTTTTCACTACTATCGTCAGCGTCATTACTTAAGCATCCCTAATTCAAGACATTAGGGAGCTTAAGCAACGACGACGGCGACGGCCACGAGAACGGCACGTTTGCAGAGAACTTGATCACAAGACAACCCTTTTTTCTTTTCCTGACCTTGGATAACCTGCGGACACAGACGCAATTCCAGTCGTCACTTCTGGAGAGAAACGACGACCGGAAATACGTCTGTGTTCGTAGGCTAGAACTTTGATACAGTCCTTTAAAACTCAACTCCTGAAAAATTCGCCAACATTTGACGAATTGAACAAGATGGAACAAGCGCGATTAAACTTAAAGCAGCGCAAACGCATTTTTAAACTGACGTTTTCGTCGCCGTCGCCGTCGCCGTCGCCGTCGTTGTTGCTTAAGCTCTCTATTGTTAAAGCGGTTGGAGAGAATCGACTTGGACTAGAATGGCGAAAGATCGCACGGACTTCAATAAAGAGGAGGGCGGAGGACTACATCCCTGATCCGACTTCGGATAAACAAAACGTCACGAACTAACTGTATTGTTACGTTGTTCAGCGGAAAGAAGGTGACTGGTTATGACTAAAACGAAACAATTCACGCTTGTAAACCAGAATCGCGATTTCTTTTGCTGGTTTCCTTTATTTTCGTCGATATCATAATTGCCATTAAATTAACAGTTATTGATGACTGAGTTACATCCATGTATTAGTGATATGATAAAACTTGCATCCAAAAGGAAAAGATATCCTAAAATGTGCGGAAGGTGCTATTTTGACAGAGAGCATAATGCACCTTGTTTTTGCATGACCATGGTTTCTAATAGCCCACCTTCGATATATTTAAATTCTAACATGACTCCGAGGTTTTGGGAACAAAAACTGCAATTTTTCGACGACTCCATTGTCGCGCAATCCCCAGAAGAGACTTGAGCACAAAGACAACCATACCAAATATAGAAAAATGACCAGAAAGCCTCAGAGTCATTTTAGAATTTTAATAATTATATCGAACGTGGGCTACTTCTCCTGGATATTACAGTCGTCCCGCGAGAAATCGAAAAAAACAGCTATCCAGGACTCGGAGGGGTAAAAAGGGTGCATTGTGTTCTCTGTAAAAATGGTAAATATCCGGGTTAATACTAGTCTGCTACACAGCCGTTTTTAGTGTCGTCACGCAACGCTCCTCCCCACTAACGGCTGCTGAAAACCGAACTACATTCCTTTCCCTTTGTGTTTGTGGTCTAACGAACAAACCAATCATGTACAAGAAATTTGACAATACGTGAGCCGCAGGGCGCTAGGAAGCGAGCACGCTTCTCAGTTTTCGACAAATCAATCAATCGTCGCTGAATTTAGACGGGCTCTGTGTTTTCATGGATAATAGAAAGACTGGATAGGAAACTTAAGTCACGTGGGCTGATTTGTTATCGCCGATTGGTTGGTTCGTGCTCCAAGATGGCGTTGGATGGTTCCATCATAGTGGAGATTTGTGACGAAACGATGGCGAAAATGTGGCGCAAACCAGTCGAAATGTAGGGTTTCTTTGCCTGCATGTTGTTCTTTTTCGGATTTTTTAGTGGTACTTTAATTTTTGGTGGGTGTTTTTTCCTTCGCTTGTTGTCTTCGGCGATGGCGATCCTTCAAAGCCACACTTGAACCTTCAAGGTAAGCACTTCTTGTTGTTGTTTTGTGTTATTTGTCCTTGTCTTTGAGAAAATTGCGTCCCAAAAATTGACCTTACCAGAGACATATTTAGTGCACTTGGCGACTGTTTTGGGACGCCTTTGTTATGAAGGTTTCTTCTTGTTTCTATTCTTAACTAGGATAGACAGATGTTTTAAGAATGGAATTGTGGCATAGGCATAGTTACAGACTAAATGCTGTTATTTTTCAGCCATAAATTTCATTTGAAAATGGCTGAAACTAACTACGTTTGGAGCTGGCTCCGAGCAAGGGTACGCACACGGTGTGTGAAGTTCCAATCGACCGACAAGTTTGGGTTGAGAACTGTTTCGCTCAAGTAATATCCTAGATTAACCCTGCTATATTGTTCGTAAAGCAGTATGTTAATTTCGCTCATCTTTTAATGTTGAAATAAAACTGCTATATTACATATCCAGTGAATACAATAGCTTCACATCGCTCCTCGCAGCTTGTATTGGAAGGCACTGAAGAGACTCGAATAAATTTTGTACTTTTCCCTTACATAAACTATAAATAATTGTTGCATCAATGGGAAAACACCTACTGACTTTTTTGTCCTCCGTTCAGGCTCCTAAGTGTTGTTGTTATTTTTTAAAAAGTGTTTTAGATTTCCTTTTGTTTTTCATTCTTGTAGGACTTGCCAATCACACATAGTGAATGAAGACAGTAAAATTGTGGTCAAGTACTCTTCTGAGAGGGCACAAATCAATCAATCTTTCTGTATTAAACATCAACAAAGTTGCTTTAGTCATGCATGAGAGCCGGAAGGTGGCATCTAAAGCATTTATGATAAGAAACTTTATTTATCACTTCTGAAGTGTATTTATTACTTCTTTGTGAGTGGGACAAATTAACTGTGTTTGAGGGTCAATGCTTGTATTAGCTACAGAGTCATGTGTTTAAGTTGGTTAGTGTTCTTCCCTGAAACGGTCTGTATCTGAATCACATTGTTTTTCAGACCAAGGATGGACTTGATTAGCACTATTATTGTATTCGGTTTTTTAGAGATCCAAAGCAACAATGTACCTGTAGATGATAAACCTTACCAAGGTATATTCTAAATCAGATTAATAAAACATATACCTGTACTTGTTTGGGGGGTGCATTTTGTTTTCAACAACATGATAATGTGACCAGACAGTCATATTTTTTCAATCCCTCATCCACTAACCTCAGACTAAACAAAAACCCCATAGCCCCTGATGTTACTGTTTTTTTTTTTCATACATAGATAAGCAGCTTCTATTTTTCTTTGGGAACAGTGTTTATGTATATTTCAGAGGTGATTTACAGTATTCCTTATCCATATCATTAACACTACACAAAAACTTAAACGTCAGTATTTCAAAGATAATACATTTCTAGGTTTTATTAAGCCTCATGGAAGACAAGTGTTTCCTAATGAAAAAAAAGTGAAGGTTCTACTATTAACCAGGAGAGTTTGCTTCCCAGTTGTATTCTGGTAGGTAACAATTAACCGTTTTACATAACATTTTTAAAAGCGTTGCAGTTCGCTTTTTCAAAGACCTGACTGAAAAGTACCTTGGGTCACTGTACATTTATACCTGAAAATAACAAAACAACTTGCTTCACAATGAAAATTGATTTGAAAAAGTTTAGAAACGGCGTTTCCACGGTGGTCCGCAAGCAAATTTCCTTTCTCTGCTGTGAGCTTTTCCCCGCTTTTTTATATTTCTCAAATACGACTTCTTGTCACTGGTTGTCCGAAAAATAAAATTGAAGGGAAAATTAAACGCTTGGTTGAGCTGGGTACTTTTACCGCTAATAAAATCATTTTGTCAAGGGTAGTTAACTTATAAAATTTGACACTCGCTGAGCTTGTCGATAAAAGCAGAAAAGAAATCATGAAAACCCTGATGAAAAGGGTTAAAATTTTTTCCGGTTTTCTTGTGGTTTGAAGAAAATTAGGCTGTGCCTTTTTTATAGGTGTTTTGTAGCTGTATACATGTAAGTTTTCGCACACTTTTTATGTAGTTAGGCTTCCCGTTTGGTGCATAAAATTACCGGGCGCTGGAGTCATTCGTCGCTCTCACAAGTTTCATAATCATTGACTCTGTCTTTTGCCTCTACCGGTTCTGTACTCAAATCTTCTCCAAGAGCAAGTCCTCTTCATCCTTTACTTCAAAACATGGCCAATATGTATAGTCGAAGACAGAGATAGTGAAATATGCGAGGAAACATAAGACGCGCAAAACGTCGAATGGGGTTGAATGGCTCTCAATAATGTGACGTCACATTTTTCCACTATGTTGGAAACGATCGCGTCAGCCAGTTTCCTATCCAGTCTTTCTATTATCCATGGTGTTTTCAAGCAACGAAAAGGTTAATTTGCAAAAAAGTTTGTTTTAAGCGGTCAAGAAAGTTCCAAGTGAAAAGAAGGTTTGATAGGCCTAGAAAACTTTTACCAGGATCGGCTGGTTCTTCATTTAACGTGCATATGTGCTGATATGTAGTGACGAATTTAATGCACCGGATGTGCTCATTGTGTTCTGTGAAGACTAAACTCTCAAGGGCACTGAGTCAAAAAGTAATCTTATAAATTATCGATGAGCGATTTCCCGAAACTATACCTGGCAACTTTATGAGCACATCCATGTTGTGAATCGCAATTTGCTCGACTTTCTTGCTGTTGCTGCTTATCTCCTAAATTTTGAATAGGACTCGACTAAGACAACACTGTAGTTAATTGCTTGTTTTCACGCGACGATTTTGATTGTTCTGTCGTTCACACATGGGGCAACGATAAAAGCAAAGCTGTGATTGGAGGAGTCACAGTACCGCGAAGGTGGCGCGAACACTTTCCAGAAAATGGGAACTGAATTATAATTGGCTAATCACGGGAAAGGAATGTAGTTCGGTTTTCAGCAGCCGTTAGTGGGGAGGAGCGTTGCGTGACGACACTAAAAACGGCTGTGTAGCAGACTAGGTTAATACCTCATAATTATTAATAATTCTTACTTATTATAAATATTGAAGTTGAAAAACTATGCACCAAAACCCGTCATTTTATACCACAACATTCAAATTGGCTACAAGGAAAATTCTAAAAAGGTTCCACTTAAATAAACATTTAATACTTTTATTATAAGTGCTAGCTCATCATAAGAAGCCTGAGAAAACAGCCGACATTTTGAGACGCCACCACTGTTTCCCTGCGAAATTACAAGCTCATACGAAACCTCCTATATCCATGTGTGACTTAGATAGTGCCTTTAATTGCCTTAAAATATATCATGTTCCCGATGGATAACGATACAAAATAGGTAGAAATATCCAAAACACCTTTTAAATACGTTGATCATTCATTTAAGAATTTTTACACCCATGTCAAGAAACATTTGACAACAAATATTACACACCTCAAAATGTAGTCAAATGACATGATTTGGCCTCATAACCCTCTTAATAAATTTCCCCTCCTTCCTCGCAGTTGCCAGAAATCAGAGCCTCAAGTTAACCAAATCAGTTGAATGTACTGAACATTTCGCGTAAATTCGGAAACGAAGATAAAATTACAAAAAAATACAGTCTTCTTCATCAAGGCCATCTCCACACGTATCCCGATGTTTTTGAAACCGGAGATTTTTTTTCAATCCTTTTTCGGAAAAATACGCGTATTCCAATCGTTTTCGCCCATCCACAAGAAAACGCTAATACGATGGAAATTCGATAGCGTCATTTACGGGGCATGCGCTGTATGATGTATGACATTACTCGTTTTCGTCGTTTTTTTAAGCCGGCTTTTTTTTTTTTTTTAAAAAAAACCTGCCATCTGGGGACCGTTTGGTGCCGGTTACCAGGGTTCGTATTCTTTTGAGCTCGTCATATTCCATGACTCCTTCCATGACCTTTTCAAGTTTTCCAAGACCTTAGGTTTAGCTGTCACTTAAAAAAATTTTCAAAGTTTCCCTTGTTTTGGGGTATTTTTGACCTTTAAAAGTTCAGCAGACAGAAACTCTGGTGTCCACCAAAATGTGTGCCGTTTGCGCCGTTTAATTACTCCTCTCTATCTTACAGTACGTTGTCCTTGCTATGTCATCTACAGTAACTAAACTACCAGACTTTCCAGGCCTGGAAAATTAAATTCTTAAATTCCATGACTTTCCAGGTTTTTCATGACCTGTACGAACCCTGGTTTACGTGTGGACGGGAGGCTAAAACGGAGAAAAAGTATCTCCGTTTCAAAAATATCAAGATACGAGTGGACGAAGCCTTAGTAAGTAATCAAGGCGCGTTTTCCAGGAAATCACGAATATAGAAAATAAACGATCACCCAGTGAACATTACATAGAGTACTAATCAAAAGTTAATGGCCTGGCAAATTTAGCTAATCTAGATTTTCCCTACAATAGCAGAGACCAGGGTTTTCATGTCAACAGACCGTTTTCTGCCCGCTTCAAGAACTTCTTCATGGTTTGCAGGAGTGACGTCATCTCCATAACCCATGACGGCAATATTAGTGATCAGAGAGAATCCTAAAACTTTAATCCCAGAATGCCTTGCAACCACCACTTCATGAACCGTGCTCATTCCAACAGCATCTACACCAAGCTGAAAAGAGTTTCATTACTCGTTTTAACTCTTTAAACCTAATATCAGAATTCAAATTCTAATTGGCTGCCCTTTGTACATTGTCGGAAATAGTACGCATTTTGTAACGCAACGAGCACTCCATTGCGTGATTTTAAGGGAAATGACACGAAATTGTAATTATCGCTAGAGTTTGCACGCGATCGATTAAACCGGATATCAATGACTGCATGACATGATTAATATTGATAGATAAATGCTTAGTTGTATTCTATAATCTATAGCTGAGGCATATAACAGAGTCATTGTTTCTCAAATGTATTGCGTGTTGCTGAAACCTTAGAACTGCACTTGTTGTATTAAGGATAAGTGATAGTAGAAGAAAGGTCAGATTGTGGAATGTTGTTGTTGAGTGTACATTGATTGTAGAACGTGTACGTCGAAGGTGAAAAGTTGGGAATTTTTGTGATTTTTCCCTTCCCTAATGTTGATTTGGGCATTGCAGTCATCTCAGTGTTCCAAAATACGCGGGGCTCAACACTGGGGAAGGAGAGGGGCACATTTTAGTGAGAACAAAGGTGAGAAGAGTGAATATAACAAATTTTGGAAAAAAATTCAAGAAAAAGGGGTTTTGTTTTAACGGTTTGTGACGAGTTTTGTAGCTAATCTGTAGGTTATATAATTAGCTGTTGGTTCTTAGCCAATGAGAAGACACTAACAGATAGTGAGTACAATGTACATGTATTATAAAAATATTTATTGGCTTTGTTTTTCTCACCATGTTCAGGAATCGACATTCAGCAGGGGTTTCAAATGCAGGTCCAACCTGAGCGCAGTATACTCCTTCTTGTAAAAAGCTGTCAAAACCCAGTTCTTTAGCTGTCTCCTGGGCAGTTTTGACAAGAGATCGGTCATAAGCATCAGACAGAGCTGGAAATCTGGTACCAAACCTTTAAATGACAAAAGTAAACCATTGTTAAGCTAAATCAATGAACAGCTCCTCAGAGTGGAACATTATACTTCTTTTTTATTGTTGCTATACATGTACACTGCGTTGGTGAACCAATCTTGAGTTAAAAATCACTTGTGGCAGAAGATTTCAAAATGAGGAAGAAAACAATGCGATTAATCAGAAAAAGTTGGGATGCCAGGCAGAACAGTTGGGGCCCCAAGTGGAACAGTTCAGTTGGGATTCCATTAGCATGACAGTAGAGACACGACTATGAGAACTAGATTTCCCAATACTAAGTACTGTACGCGCGTGAACCAGCATCATTTTGGCAGGAAATTAGATAGAGCGGCTGGGGTCATTCTGCTATGGGTTTAAACCAGAATGTTGTAGTGGTGGAAACAAGTTTTATCATCTTTTTGCGATAAGGAGTGAGATTTTATAACCTCCTTCACTAAAAACAACTGCGTTAATTTTTCTGGTAAAAAAATGTAAGATGAAACGTTCTGGGGTTCCTACATTTTTTTTTAGAATATGTGAAGACTGAAAAATGTACTAAATGTCTCTATTTAGGATGCAGGACCGGACAGTTACATGTAGGATGCTGGGTGGGACAGTTGGGATACTGGGTGAGACAAAAGGAATGCTGGCTGGGACAGTTAGGATGCTGAGCAGGACAGCTGGGATGCTTACTGGGACAGTTGGGATGCTGGCTGGGACAGTAGGGATGCTGGCTGGGACAGTAGGGATGCTGAGCAGGACAACTGGGATACTCTGAGTGGGACAGTTGGGATGCTGCCTGAGACAGTTGGGATGCTGGCTGGGACAGTAGGGATGCTGGCTGGGACAGTTGGGATGCTGAGCAGGACAACTGGGATACTCTGGGTGGGAAAGTTGGGACACTGCCTGAGACAGTTGGGATGCTAGCTGGGACAGTTGGGATGCTGAGCAGGGCAGCTGGGATGCTCTGGGTGGGAAAGTTTGGATGCTGGGTGGGACAGTTGAGATGCTGCCTGAGACAGAGACAGAGACTGGGACAGTTGGTTGCACTGCTTTACAGGCACTTGATTCAAATAATTTGAAACTAATTAACAACACAGCAGCATTAAAAACCCCAACAAGCATGACTGACGATTTGAAGTCAGGATGACAAAGAAACAAAGCCAGCTAATGGTCAAAGTGGGACTTGAATCTGCTGCCTTTTGGATCGCAAGACCAATGTGCCGACCACTCAGCCAAGTTACCTCTTTTAGTCCTGTTAATTTTTAGTACTTAATTACCTCTCATCATTCAGACCCCTCAATGGACTCTCTCCAGTCAGTCCCGCCAGATTGATATGGTCCTTTACTATCATTATATCACCCACATTGTACTTCTGATTGAGTCCACCCGCAGCATTGGTGACAATAAGAGTCTTGACTCCAAGGTGACTCATAACTCGCACAGGAAGAGTGATCTGTTTTAAACCCAGAAGTAATAATCAGTTTCAGTTGTCATTATTACGATGCGACATTTATAGATAACTGATACAAAACGTACAGTCAGGGATGGGGGGCCAGGGAATCTTCAACCGCTATTATGAACATGTCCCCCATCTACTTTGGTAGGAAAATAGAAGAGAAATACAGTAGAAGCAAACAAAATCCCTAGCTGTTGGATTCCCCACCTACTTGTGCCATTAGCCTGACAACTTGAAATTTTAACGACAGCACTGTACAGTGGAGCTTTCCACTCATGGGATGCCCTGGGAATCAAGAAAAGTGTCCCCTAAATAGAGGTGTCCCTTCCACAGAGATGGCTGATACAAAGATTACACAGTGGAGCCTCCATTTATGGGACTTCCCGGGGACTAGAACAGGTATCACCTGAATAGAGATATCCTCTGAATAAAGATACAGTCAAACCCTACATTACAGATACCCACTTAAGACACACACCTTGTTATTATGGACAGTTTGCTTTGTCCTGGGGAAAGAGAACCCTTACGTGTTCTCTAAACTCAACCCGCTTAATATGGACACCTGTTAATACAGACACTTTCTACGGCCCCCTCAGTGTCCATGTTAACGTGGTTTGACTGTAACTGATACAAAAATATTATACAATAGACCCACCATTCAGGGGACACCCTTGGAGCCAGGACAGGTGTCCCCTAAAAGGAAGCTTTTCGATGAGATTACTGATAAAAGTAGCCTGCATTTAGGGAACAGCCTTGGGATCAGGACAGGTGTTCCCTAAAGAGAAATGTCTTTTAAATAGCAGTAAAATATACTGAATAAAGATTATATGGTAAGGCCTTCATTCAGATTAAAGATTAGGACAGGCATCCCCTAAAGAGAAATGTCCCTTCCATGAAGGTAAAAAATACAGAGATTCTATTGAAGTTTCTGGCCCTTCAATCGAGGTAAAAGAGGGCAGTGCAGCCCATCAAAAGTGCTATTTTCCAAAATGACGTTTCATTTTAACAGTTTTTGTCACACCCTTTAACCCATTTGCTCCTGGAGATTTTGCTGAAAAACGTGTTTTGAATCTATTATCATTAGAGTGGTTTTCTGGTCACTTTCGTGCTACATGTATAAAGAGCTAAAACTTACCACAAAACCGTTTAGAGGTCGCACACTTCACGGCCTTCTGATCCAGATGTAAACTGTTAGCTTACAAAGTTCGGGCATGTGCAGAAAGCAAAATTTCAAGACAGTTTTTGGGTGTAAAAGTGACACAGCAGTCTTGACTTTTACTTTTTGCTTTCTCTCCTCCCCTCTTTGAGTTTTTTTGCTTTTCTTGCCTCATTTTTTTTTCTCTTGCTGGGCATTTAGTAGGCTTCATTTTGGTGGTAAGAGTTTTTAGGAAAGCTTTTAGGATCTTAGGATTAGGTGAAAGGAAAGGTAGGTGGGCAATGGAACAAGATTTTCATGGAGATTTTCAGGTTGATGTTACATGGTTTTTGTCCTTTTTCTCCAGTGTCCCTGACTGAATTGTGTTCATTCTGGTATGGTTTGAAAGATCTCTTCACTCTGCACAAGTTCGCGTTGACCGTTAAAACTGATGATGTCACAAGCAGTAGAAAGGACGTGGATCCGCACGGGTGGTTATGGGTGACTCAGGGGCAAATGGGTTAATCATGGATTGCAACTTTAATACTGCTCCCTTATGTTTTGAAATCTGTGTTAACATTTTGTGTGGTTTTTTGAAACCTAAAAGTTACATACTAAATTTATAATACTACAAAACTTTAGAGATTACACAAGGAAAACTAAATAAATGGGTCTAACTATTACCTGCCCAACTGTGTAGCCTTCGTATAGATGGGTGCGGCCTTGCATCATTATCACTGTTTTGCCATTAAGAACACCTAACACAAGCTTTCCTACATGACCATGAACTATTAAACACAGGGTAGAGTGGATTAATTCCAAAGGAAAGGATGACACTTAAACACAACAGTGTACTACACAATATACATTTTACTACTTATTCAAAATTTTTACCCTTTTTGATTGGCTCAAATCCCACAGCCAATTCTTCATAACCACCTAGTACTGGCCAAATATGGAAGATGTTTGTGATAATTATGCAGAAAATGACATCAGTAGTACTGAATAATTGCCAGAAAAAGGGACAGCAACCGAGAAGCCCTGGCCATGGACAAGGCTGCATTGCTGGTTTTGGTAGAGCAAGACAAAATTAATGGTGGAGCATTTCACACATTTTGGGAAGAAGATCAAAAAGGTCTGAACTACAGTATACTGCCTAAAACCTTACAAGAACAGCAAAAATAAAACTCGATGGATGACATCTGCTATGTGAAGTGTATCTTCTAGACTGTCTAAACATCCCTTTATATCCTGAACTTGCTAAGAAGCAGGCAAAGACAAAAACTGAATGACAATCATTCAAGGAAAGCAGGTTTTTATTGTTTTTGAACTAGGAATTAGTTTGAATGAACAATGAATTTGGCTTTCATTAGACTTTCTAAAAGTCCTTTATTTATTTTTCCTCATTGCTTATGCCATTTTAAAGGACTTTTTATATCTGTTTGGCACGAGTTTCACGAATTGAAAATCATACCGGTGAGTCGTCATGACTGACCAATAAGACAGTGAGTGATATTTCACACTGCTCCTGACACAGCATATATATATGTCAATCAAATTTTTACCGCGTGAATTTATAACATGATTCAAATCCATTTTGGCGAAACAGGTCGACCTCGAGACTTCATCACTCACTCGGCTGCTGTGCAACCTCGTGCATTGAATCTTTTGAGCCCTATGAGAGGTCGACTTGTAGCAACTCTATATACAGTGTTGTAGGCTTCTGTATCATATGATCTGAAGATTATGCAGATCTCGAAGGGTGTCGGTCAATCTCCACACTAAACCTTTTCTCCAATAGTTGCTAATTTTTTAACACATTTTTAGTGCAAATTTGATTAAATCACAAGTGAGATTAAATTAAACTTTGTACCTGTACTTCTTGGAAACTGCTTGATCTTCTCATAGGGTATATCATCTTTTTCTCCAACAATATCTCCCAGCGATGACAGACCTGAACCACAAATAATGCCAATGGTAGGACGATGCTTAGTTTGATTCAAAATAGTTTTGCAGATCTCCTCAACCTCATTATAGTCATGACTGTAATCATGTCTACAAAAAAGGGAAACATCAGCATTTTCTTAGTTAGACAGAAAAATGACAAACTATTCTTTAAAGTCATCTTGCTAACGATCATAAATGACACATTTTTGTCTGACACAGAGTGTTCAGGATGATATGGAAAGATATGGCATAGGCATGAGGGTTGTCCACTAAAATTTCAGTTTGCCAAGTATTATGCAATTTAAGTAGACAGTGAACATTTCCTTTGTTCTATTAACCTTTTGGTTCACTTTGAAAGGGGTCGTGCTTATAGTAGCCAGGGGAAATCCACTTTACCCAGCCCTTTACTAGTGGTAGCCCAGCTAAAGATAAAGATAAAGACAAAGATAAAGTCTCTCATGAGATCATTTTTTTCTTGTCAAATCATAGCTTGCGTTTTATCTGCCGTGCATGGTGTCCATCGAATTGTCTCCTATGGAATTATTACTTGCCTTGTCACCTGCATTAATTTCTGTTCTTACTTGCAACAATTTGACAACCAGTATCCATGACAAGAATTGAATTTGACATTCACTTAATGCTGCTTATATATATTTCCCTTACTTGCAATTTCGATTTCTTTGTTTTAAAAAAACGTGACCTTTAAAATAATATTATATGGTCTGCCTCTAAAACTGTAAAGCAACAGGACTTGATGAACAAAGCTGATAATTAAGAATTAATGAATGAGGCTGAGTATCTTATGAAGAATTATGGAGATCTCGGAGGGTGTTATCACCCTCTGAGATCTCCATAATTCTTCATATGATACGAAAGCCGAATTCAAATTGTTTTATCATTCATTCAAAATAATTCCTACTTTAAAAACATGGCTAAAACATGCTAACCTCCATCGATCCATCGATGGTAAGTTCATCTTCGATAGAGCACGTTTAGGTTTGTCCAGCTCCGCAAATATTCTCCAAATAGCAGATGTCGCCCTTCGAGTTGTCTTGTTGCCCTGTTTTTAGCTATGTTTTCGACTAGTTCTTACTCTTGAAACGAGTGAAATGTCCGCCATTTTTCAAGTTCACAATCAAAACAACTCAACCTCGTCCCCACGTCTTCTCGGTTAACGGTGCCTTAACCTGCGAAAACGCTGCATTTTTGACGTCATTTCCTCGTCAAACACAAAATTCTTCCAAATTTGGTCATCAGTAACTGATTATGGTGAATTAAACGAGTTCTTTTAGCCAATCAGAATCGGGAAAATATTTTGAATGAATAATGTGATATAACAATCAGATGTTTACTGCCGAACACTATTTCGGTAATGAAACATATGTTACTGGTCAAAAGTTAAAATTTTTTAACCTAGGTTGGTTCTCTATTTCCTTTGTCTCCTAACGCAGCCCTAATTATTCCACAAAGGAAATTGAGAATCAAGGTATGGATATTTCTTGTATATACACATTTTAACTGTATCTTTTATTAGCTGTTTAAGTGGACATGCTTTGTTTAATGTTGTGTCAAAACATCACTGCAATCCAACTTAGTAGCTGGTTTAATATACAAAATGTTTAGTCCCTGAAAACTTCCATGCATTCGCCCCCCTCCCTCCCCTCACCCCAACACACATAGGTAGAAGGCATCAGAAACTCTAGTGGGAGATTGAGTGCCGATCTCAAAGACTCAGAAATTTAAACCAATGTCTCAAGCTGTATTGGAAAGGGTTTATGCATTTTTAATACATGCATAGGATATGACTTGTTATGTTATAACATGAAAACAAAATATTTATAATTTCTTTAGAAAAATAGTCATATGAGTGACTCTTTGGTCCCTATAAAGATTGATTAAGGGATGATAGTAGGCTTACATTGGAAGGCATAATTTTATCAAAGACAAATACATTACATATACATGTACTCCAGGAACAAAATTTCACGTTTCCCAATTAAGGAATGAGGACAACTGCTGTGAAAGTCACTATAACCCGCCTTCATTTATTCTCAAATTTGTTGTTGTCTTAACAGCAAATCGTAGTTGAGCCGCGTACGAAAGCTTTTCTTGGCGCTTATATATGTACGTCAGACTTAAAATAAACTTCATGGCTGATCTAATTGTAACGAACAGATACAAGAAGTAATGCAATTCGACAAGGGATTAAAGCTTGGCCTGCTTTGCATCGGGAACGTGTCGAGAATGCGAGAGGATTAGAATGGTCTAATTTAACCTACTTTTTTTTAGGAGAAATCAACTAACCTTCGGTCTGAATTCTCTGACATATTGATCCTCAGCTGACAAGGACTATTTGGAGCGATTACAACTAAATCTACAACCTGAATAGACGAGAAATCATTCGTTTGCCTTCTGCTATATAAACTGTCCCGGCGCGTCGTGACCTGAGTAAATCTTGTACCTAATGCCATATTAGGTAATCTTGGGGGTGTGTGCGTGTCAACAGAAAATGCAGTTGGCGCGTGTGAAAAGAACCAGAAGTTTGCCAAAAACTCTTTACGAGCATTTTGGGGTTTTAATTAACCAAGCAAGATCGATCAACATTTTAAACAGAGTTTGACTAGGAGATTGCTAATTTACATCACAAGAAAATTCTGAAAGATAAGAGGGGGTCAAGATTATTTTCTAGTTATTACTGCGGAAAAAAGAGGAGAGATTGGGCCTGGGATTTCGTAACGCCGTGATCGACCGTTTTTGGTGTCCGTGAATCGTGAAGTACTGATAAACTATTCCGTGAATCGTGATTGAAGTGCACTCCGTGAAACCTGAACTGTCAAAAGGCTCGATTATTAACACGTACCCTGTAGATCAATCGAAGAAAATAAATCGTTAATGTGGCCAAACGACCTTAACTAGCATTCAGGTGGCTTGATTTAACTTTCGAGTCTTTTGATGTAACTTCACACTTCAGTGCGCTCAGACCCACCGATAGCTGGCTCCGAGAATTTGTAGCCGTGCAGCATTTTTCATAAGGTTCGTAAAATTCTAGTTAACTTGCTAAAATATAATCGAAGCACTCTGTTTTACAAAATGGGACTAACGTAACGTTTTTGACATTTTGTACGACCTTTATTTGAGCAAGCGTGAAAACGTAAATATTTGATTCGTAACTCGTGATGAGACCCCTCTTCCCGCCCCCCCCCCCCGCTTCATTGTGAGTGACAATAACTGTTTTCACAGTGGAGTTTCAAGCATAAGTTTCAACGTAGCCTGCGTAGCAAGCTGCGTAGCAAGCGTTTCCAGACGAGTTATAGCAGGAAAATTGGAGCGGGAGCAAAAAAATGGAAGGGGGAGGGGGAGGGGAGAGGAGGAAACGCTTGCCCTCAAACCCCACGATTCTGGAAAACGTCCCTTGATATTTCACGGTTCGGTTCATTTGTAAATTGACAGCTTGTCAAGATAGATGACGAATAGATTACCAGATTTGAAAAATTTACTTTGTTCCCTAAAAGTCCTAAAACACGCTCCACGCGATTGCAAAACTGTAATAAAAAGAAGCTTAACGATAAAAGAAGGTTGGAACTCTAAGCGATTGCTGCGGAATTTCTTGTTGTTTACAGTTAAGTTAAACTGTTTGAACGTTATGTGGCTTTGTCTCATCTGAAAACTTGGCAAAACGTCGCAAAGAAATGATTTGTCCGGAACAATTCACTCCGCCGGCTATGAGTTTTGCAGAGCGATTCCTTTCTATAGGCTAGCCAGTGTCGAAAAGTTCTCTTCAACAAATGCCGCTCAATTTCCAATCACTTGTCCATGGCGGCTCTAGCTAGTGTCTAGTACCGATGTTCTAATTTACGTTGATGTTACTCCCTGACAAACAGTCCATTTTTTCCAGTCAGATACGCACGCCATCATTCCCAATAAATTGGCCTTCACTAGTCTCCACTGCTCGATCTCCAAATATACTTTTGATGGAAGAGACTTAGATCTGATAAACCTTCGCACAAACATGATTCAAATAAATATCAGACCAAAGCATTTGTAATCTGCGACCACAAATAAGATCAGACCAGATCTGCGACGCACGTAAACAAAACATACCTGGTTTGATTGATGTTTCGAGTGCAAAGTAATCAACACTACCAGCAGCGCGCCAATCAGAAGCTGCGTTCGCGGGCGAACGCAGTTTTTCAAAATCGTGGGGTTTGCGGGCAAGCGTTTCCTTCTCTCCCCTCCCCCTCCCCCGTCATTCCTTTTTTTTTGCTCTCGTCCCAACGTTCTCGACGAACTCGCGCGGAAACGCTTGCTACGCAGGCTAGTTTCAACGATTTTGCTGTAACCCTTTACCCATAACGACAAGGGTCTTATTTCTCCTTTCCAATATCCGACTGCCTGATTTAACATTAATTTTATGTCCCTAGAATAAAGGAAATGTTTCAAGAGGCCAGAGCTGCTCGCGGCACCTTCTGCATACTGTATGCTGTGCCTTAACCCTCTTTCTTTTTATTATGATCCAAGAAAAATTCATTATTACTGGTAACAGGATGACGACAAGACTGTAAATCCAATCTTTGGAAAGACTCCTCGTTAACACCTGAACCAAGCAAAATGGACTGTGCGGAGCTTCGTCCCTCGTACTTCTCTTGACTCAATGGCCATTGACAGCTGCGACAGCTAATTTCTGCACAAGGATAGAAATAAATAAAAAAATTGTGTTATGCACTGCAGGCTAGTTTAACTACCTTCTTAGCAGATAGCTACCTGGCATGAAAATTTCAGTTAACTCATCTTTTTTCAGTGTCGTTTTGCACCCGCCGAGGGTAGGGGGGTACTTGGGTTAATTTTGCCTAGGTATGTGCCACTAGTCTCTCAGAACCCCCACTCTATTATAGTCTATTCTGTGGCTAAATATAAGCCCCAGCTTAGTCACCTTTGGGAAAATGTGCGTCCCATATTTGTAATTCTATCTAAAAAAAAAACCATTATAGTCAATCTAGTCGTGCTAATGCGACCCCATCCAGCGGCACATCGCCATTAACTTATTACAAGGAAGAACCCCCCACCCTCAAATACGGGGTTTTTCGATGTTTCTAGTGGCTCTGTGTCTTGATATAGTGGGCTCCATGCTTCTGAAATTTCTATTTTACTTTCCGTTTTGATTTACGTGAATGGCCACTTTAATTTGACTCGATCTGCGCGTGTGCCAATTAAGGAGGGTGACAATCGTATCAATAAACCTAAGTTCATTTCAAAGTGAGTGTTCCTAGGTGTTGTTGTTGTGCTTTGTTTTGTTCAGTTGTTGTTGTTGTTGTTGTTTTTTTTTTGCTTTTTGCTTGTTTTTGTTTTATTAGTTTCTTAGATGTTTTTTCTATCTTTCTCTCTTTTAATGATAATGTTTATTGGATCACAAGATGCTTAGCCCCCAAAAAACTAAACAAACAAACAAAATTCAGTAGGCGGTACGCGTGATCTTAGTTTAACCCCTGACTTGAATTAGGCAGTAGTGAAAGTTGCTTAAGTTCGACGGTCGGTTTTTGAATTTGATGAAAAATATATATATATATATAACCATTTCAAGCAACAACAAACGTCTTATTTTTACATATTTTTCTTTAGAGATAACAGGGAGTTTTTAATTCTAGCATGCTTGTAAATACACTCAATAAACAATGTTGTGTTGAACTCACTGCAGGTGGCCCGTAAATCATACGCTTAAAAAATACTGATCAGTTTGTGCAGGGTTTCCGGAAAGAGGCCGCCGTCAGGTTATGGAACTGCGATTTCAAAGCGAGCTTTTTGTTATTTAATTTAAGCTTGATTTTAAACCTTTTTTTGATGCATTAATTGTTGTTTCCATTAAGTAGCCGATATAATTACTTTATCTACACCGTACATATTTTATGAAGAACACCAAAACATCATGGAGTTATTGGACGAAATGCCAATTTATTTCGCGCTGATCAAAAGAATGAGCTAAGAATACCACTGATTTTGTTATTTTATTATTATTATTATCATTGTTGTTGTTATTTGGTTTGTTTGTTTGTTTGTTTTTTTATTTTGGCTTTCTGTCGCTTTCTGTTGCAGTTTTTATAGAACGTAAGATACATACCGGTTTGTGAATTTATTACCCGGTTGCTCTTAACAACAGAGGGTTATCGATTAAAACTTTTTTAAAAGCTAGTCTCAATCAAAGCCACAACTCTCGAATCCAGAGCAAACAGTAACCAAACTGAAACTAAAAATTGATACTTCTACATTTAAAACCAAGAAACTTTCAAACTCACTTAAACAAAAATGTCTTAGGTTGTAAACACATTAGATTTGCAATTCATATTGATTTCGTCAGGTTGACAAGCCATAATTTCCTAATAAGAGCGTTGTTTAATAATCTCTTTCTTATGTTAGCATTTTAGATTCTAGGAGCTAAAAATCGATGCACTGTCTGATACCATTTGAGGGCAAATATTTCACATTTTTTATATGATTCTTCTCCAAGTGGTATGGAGATAAAAAAAAAAAAACAATGAAAAAATTAAATAAAATAAAAAGTCAGTTCCGCTGGTTTGGTATTGATAATAAAAGCCTGAAATCCGGTTAAAGGTTGGGGGGCCAATCAAACAAAGCAAGGTGTTATAGGTTCGGGGTCAAGATAATTAACAAAATTAATTTCCTTCTCATAGCCAACGCAAATCGTTCTCTTAATTAGATTTTATTACGTAAGTGAACGTCAGATTGCTCGGTGTCTCTTAAAAAGCACCAAGTAACTTGACGCTACAGCTCCTTGCCGATCTTGCTGAGCGAACATGCCTGGCGTCTTCGTGATGCATGGCAAAATCAACGACTTTTTTCCTCAAAGATCTCTTCTAAGATATATCTTGTGGATCACGGTTCTTAATTCTGCTTTCATAAAAGGAGGTGAGCTCTTTTTGTCTTGTTTCGTTCTCCTCCTAAGTGAAGTATATACTACGAAAAACAAATAGCAATGTCAATTTCCAAAAAACTAAACGGTGTTAACTATAACAGCCTGCTGAAAACGCATGGGGTAGTAAGATCAATTACAAGTTTAAAAAACAAAAAGAAAAAAAAAGCGGGAAGAAAATTCACTTTATAGGGGTATAATGACTTGACATTACAACATATTGCGACAAAGCCTTGCCAACAAGGTTCAATGTAAACACTTCATTTGTGTGTCGTTATGGCTTTATTATTTGTTTCAGGCATCTGAATTGACCCGAACGCTGTATGGACCCTTAATTGACTGTTTTCAGCTCTCTCTCTGAAGTTGTTTTTCGAAGTTGTGATCACCAATGCTGCTTAAAGAACAAAAGCAAAGTGCAAAATTTACCCGATGTATTTTTGAAAAGAAGAACAATAGAGAAGACTCTTTTTTCCTTGTAACCATGGAATTTGTAAAAGGATTCATATACCCAAAAAGTAGAGCTTTTTAATTCGAGGAAAACATTCATATATATCTTCAATCAGTATTCCAACAATCAGCAATTACTCAATTTGGCTATCGTATCGGAAATACCATGTAGATCAAGGAGGGTGTAAACCTCGGACGTACACGCAAATTCATACCCCCTCCGTAGTACAAGAGGGGGGGGGGTGGATGTAACCCCTCCCCTGAGTTTTTGATATGTTGCAGTATTTTGAAACGATTTTGCCTTTAGTGAAAAGCCTTTGATCTTCTTAACAAGAAGAGGTATATTTTATGGGTGGTGGCGCTGCTGGAGGCATGTGACGTCACCAACAATGGTCGCCATCTTGGCCGCCATCTTGGATTTTACCAAGAATTAGAAATCAAGTTAAAACCGCAAGAAATGGTACTTTTTTGTACTTTACATGAAAAATAACACATAAATAAGCACTTTGCATGATTTTAGCCAGGAGATTTACTTTTATTGTTGAAAAAAGTTGAAAAAACATGTGTTTTCACCGACAATTGGCCAACCTCGTCCCCAGGGCTTTTCCCTTAAAAAATGGGTGGGGCGGGAAAAGGCCCTGGCATCGGCTGGTCACGTGTCTCCTCGTACACCCTAAAATCCTGGGTGTAATAAATTAGCGCTATGTGAAAAGCTAAAATTATGCGTAAACTCACAGCGCGTGATCGTGGGCGGCCTTTTATTTCTCTTGACGATTAACGAAAAAATTTACATGATTTCCTTTTTGTCACAGATACTGGCCATGGTAATTTTTTGCTTTCCTCCGATTTCTATGAAGGGGACAGCGAGTAACATTTATGAAACTTCTGATTATAGAGCGGTGTAAATGACAAAGAAGCTACCGTACACGCATGAAGTATGTAGTGGACAAGTCCGCTTTCTCGACTCTTCTGATATTTTATTTCATTTCAGCCTAGTTCTATTTACCTTAATTCTCAGCCATATCATAGCGACACGCGTTGGTTTAGACTTATCCTGTATGACCTGTATTTTAAAATATTCATTGACCTCTGCGATCAAATGACTGGCAACAAAGAAAGACCTGGGTCCATTTAAAATTGACAGAGCTGTAGTTGATTCCAATCGATCAGTCAATCTTCCCTTTGATATAAGGAAAATCCTTAGTTTGTACTTATCCTCGGAAGAGAAAAGATATTAGAGGTCTTCAAATGTTTCTGCTTTCAGATCGGCGACCTGTCATCGTTCCTCGGCTGGAGGGCTGACTTGCATCCGCCGAGGAGATTTGTTTGTACCGTGGTCGGGTTGTAGAGAAGACCAGACTCCTAAAGCATTTTGGTGAACAATTCTATTTAAATTATAAGTTCAATTTGTTTAAATTCACTGCAGATCCTGTAGGCAAAGGCCCGCATTTTTATTTGACATTGGACAAACTCACTCTCCGCTTGATCGTACAGTTACTCTGTTACCTTGTTAGGTTGTTACCCTGTAATCAAAGTGCAGGATTCGATCATCTTGCCCAACTAGCCGATAACAGCTTGTCTCAACTCTGAAGCACTTGTCATATTTTGTACGTGAGAACATAGAGCCGGTACGCCCTTTCATAAACCTGTAGCATTTGAATAATGGGCAGTTAAATGGATCTTAAGATTTGAATCGCACACACGCGAAAATATTGACATAGTCCGCGATGTTATTATTTTCCATTGTAAGTTACTCCCTTCTGTCAGCGCAAAACCAGCGGGTTGCATATAAATTAGCTTCTCGGAATATTTAGGCTGTACACGTGACCAGCCGATGCCAGGGCCTTTTCCCGCCCCACCCATTTTTCAAGGGAAAAGCCCTGGGGACGAGGTTGACAATTGGCTTGACCACCTGCTACTTATGACCTCATATCTCGTAACCATAGCAACTGACCATCACTAAACTTGTCTCAAAATGTGCGCGAGGGATGAACAAACAGCTACTAAAAACGTCAGGTGCTGATGTGTTATCCTCTAGGAACAGGAGCCAACTACTTTGAAACTCCATATGTGCTGTACCCTTAAGTCAACCCATTCCCGTAGAAAATTATTTTTAGAACAGGCTTTCCCGCAAGATTAACGTGATTTCGAGCACGTCCGCATATTTTCGTAGTGAGAAAAAAATGGCAACGAAAGAGGGAAATTTGTTCCACCACCGTAGCTCCTTCCTCCGTTCCTTCCCTTACAACCGAGGAAAGCTGCTTTCGAGTTAATATTATAAGTAATATGTAATCTGGCTTAAAAAGATTGCTATATTTTATTGCAACCCACGAGGTCGTGTTTGCTGCTCTAGCACTGTTCGGATGTTTAAATTTTGCTCGTAATGTTGTACTGTCGTGTCTTCTGTGTCTTATCTACCGCAACCTGGGACAGGACACTGTTTTGCAATCACACTAAAAATGATGATGCTACAAGATGCTACAAGATTTCTTGGCGGCAGTAAATACTTGCAGACCTCAAATAACTGCAAAAGGAATATGCAGGAGGACGTGACATGACGAAACATCTAATTTCCGCTGTGAATCCTCTGAGAACCTTTCTTTCATTCAAGGATTTTAATCTTTTGAAGTCGCTAGCCCCATCGGCTCACTCCTTTTTTACTTTTATGACTGCTTGTTATTTTCCTTGTTTCCACGTTACTTAGTTTCTTAGTAGCGAGAGAACAATACCAGGCTCATTCGGTAGATTCTGTATCGACAGTTGTTGTACTGTGTGAATGAAACCCTCAGTATGTTAAGTACACAACAGTAAATTTCGCTTTTAATTCGATTTCATTCCTGTTGTACATCTCGTTTGTTTTGTTTGATATGTCCTCTTGAAATATTTGCCGTTGAGATTGTATGATATCAAAAGCCGTTTTCATCCACAGCCACATTATAATTTGGCTTATAAAACGCGACCTAAGATCTCGCACAATTATAGCCGCCGCGCAAGCGAAAGATGCAGTCCGTGTTCGATCTGTAACACAGTTGGAACAACATACGTTTTACTTCAAAATTAACTGTGGGTTGATGCAGGGTGGTCCTTTGTGGAATTAGTAAAAAGCTCCAAAGCATTGTACAAGTGAGTTAACCAGTAACGTAAAGTAACTAAAGAGCTTGATTTTCAATATTTATTTACCCGCTGTCGAGGGCCGGGACTGGGTTGTTCGTGATAAAACTTATGATATGCAGCCAACTGTCAAGATTACAAGCAAACCTGAAGACGTCGCATGAGTGTATCACCTTTTTCTTTTCGCTATTAGGCTTTAAGCGGATTTTTTTAACCCTATAGAATCAGATAACTCTTCCACGCTGGCTACCGTCATTGTTGGCAGCAATTCAAATCGCGCTCCTGTGACTCAACGTGTGACGTATGATCATAGCTCTGCTCTGATTGGATATTACTAAGAAGGCGTGAAAAATATTCCGCGAAAGCTATTGCTATAAAGAACTTCACACATTAGAAACAAACTAAAACATGTTTACCGCGAACAATGTAAAATTATCGTCACCAGTTGCCTGTTCCTCGGCTAATTCGTGAAGTACTATAGATAATCTTCAAATTGTAGTTTTCATCCGTTGAGTTGTATATTTATGCTGTTCTTTTTTCAGTTTTATGAAAAAGCTTGGCTATCCCTTCCTCGCTAAACGTTTGAGATTTTCCACCATTTTCTACCATATTACTGAAGTAAACTAATTCAACCGTCCCCAGGACTTATTTGTTGCCGTCCCCTGTTCGAAACTATTGATGTCATTTTATCGGATGCCGCAAGTATCTTCCAAATTTGGAAAAATATTGTGAATAAATAAACGCGCTTTCATATGGATCATACGTCTCGCTTTAAAATATGGCTTTTTTTTGTTCCAGATTACTGTCGACAAATTCAGTTTAAAGAGCAAATGGAAAATAAAGTTCTAAGAAATCACGTAATTAAACGTTCTCAAGACGTTGGAATCGATGGCTGCGAGTTACAGTGCTACTTGGAGCCAAACTGTGTATCATACAACTATGGTCCATCACTTTGTGAACTTAATGATATCACACACCTTCAAGCCCCGTCAAATGATATGGAAACTCGAGATGGATGTATATATCGTGCAGTATTTCGTGTAAGCTTGATATTGTTGAACATATTTCATTTGGAGATTTCATCTGATTATGATTATGATTATGATTATTTATTATTATTATTATTTATCAGCTTAATTTTATTTTTCTATTTTTTTTTCAGAAACCCTGTCTAAGTAGTCCTTGTTTCAACGGCGCAACCTGTCAAACAGGATTTAGCGAACAAGGATACCGATGTGTTTGTATCACAGGTTACCATGGTAATAAATGTGAATTAGGTAAGACTTCGTGCTTCTGTTTGCATATGTAGGGTACAATCTAAAAGAAAAGGTTATCAGGCATTAGCGAATATCAAATATAACAAAAAATAAATAAATAAATAAATAAATCCATAATGATATATATCGTGTAGTTTCCATTTATTACCAGATATCGATGAATGTACAACACAGACTCACGACTGTTCTTCAAATGGCATTTGCACTAATGTGGAGGGATCCTTTCAGTGTGAATGTCAACCAGGATTTACAGGGGATGGAAAAACATGCGAGGGTAGGTCAAAAACAAAATAACTAGCGAGAAGCGGTTTTTCGCGCTTTTTTTCGATCCGTTTTCCCCACTATCTTCGAGCCTGGAACAGGCTAAGACGAGCCCCTATCCTAAGCTTTTGATGTAATAGGTTGTTGTGAGGATAACGAACAGTTGCTTACTTCACTGGTCATCATTTCGCAGCAAAACTTCAGCAAAATTAATTTATAAATAGTTCAGGAAATAGAAATCAATGACGAGATCACATAGTTTGTCTTTGTGACCATCCATAGATATCGACGAATGTACAACACAGTCATGAAAAAAACAACCAAAATAACAAACTTGACTTAAGAATAACTACTGTGACCTTTAGCGGTGTTCATTTCAATCATCCGTGGATAACCTTTTTTGTAGCCTGCGTAGCTGGCGGTATTGTGTGGGTGCGAGATTAATGCGGCGGAGCCGTGTTCCAAAAAAAGGGAATAGGGACGAGGCGGTTGAAATACCGCCTGCCAGAAAACCCCGGTATTTTCAACCTCGTCCCCAGGGCTTTTCCCTTAAAAAATGGGTAGAGCCCACCATTTTTTAAGGGAAAAGCCCTGGGCACGAGGTTGCGGTATTTTGAAAAGTCCGCACACCAGTGTGCGGGGAAACGAATTGGTCGAGAGCCATACATATGTCAATCATATTAGATGAGCCTTCGCATGTATTTCCCAATTTTAATAGAGAGCAGATGGCAAACTGAAAAAGACGCACATGTAAAGTGATTGGGATAGTGATTTCCGCTTTAAAAAGAATAAAATTGATGACCAAATTGCCGAAATGGTGTCTTTAAACTTCACAGCGCTGGAACTCTCTTTATTTAGCCGTAAGAAACAAAGGTCAAAGAAAATTAAAACACCATACAATTGCATCTGAGATCAAATCCTATCAGGAACACCTACAGAAGAATAAACCACGGGAAATGGTTACTCTGTATGTAACAAACCAGCTTCATGACCTTTTAATGTTAAGCCTGGTGTTGCAAAGAAAGATTTACTCAGTCAAAGTTTAGAATGATACATGCACTGTGTAACTAGTAACCTTCGCGCGAGAGCCGAGAAAATAAAAAAAACCTCTGTTCAAGCAAACTCACAAGGTCACGTTTCCTATACATTATCACGAGCTTAGGAGTCGTGTTTAGCCTGTCAACGCTTATTTCTAAACGGTCTCGCGCGAAAATAATCGGAAGTTTCAAATTGCAGGTTTCTCCTTGACTGGCTGATTTAATTGCGATCAGCTAAGGTGACTAAAGTGGGCGGCATTCGAAAAATCATGGTTCTCTGGCAGGTGGTATTTCTCCCGGCTTGGCCGCTCGTGACGGCTCCGCCGTCAAATCTCACTCGACTATACTACAACGGCTCCGCCGCCAAATCTCACTCGACTACTATACAATACCGCCAGCTACGCAGGCTACCTTTTTTGAGAAAGTAATTCAGCAAAAAACACACACACACAAAAGTGACGTTTTCATATATATGTTTTCCGTTCGCATTCTTGCGATTCTCGAAAGGTTAAAATATGGATTGAATATCACTATCCATGAAGACGGGAGGAAAAAAATGTAATCAGCATATGCGAATATCAAACGTAACAGAAAAAAAAAAAATAAATAAAAAAATCCATAATGATATATTTCGTGTAGCTTCCATTTATTACTAGATATCGATGAATGTACAACACAGACTCACGACTGCTCTTCAAATGGCATTTGCACTAATGTGGAGGGATCCTTTCAGTGTGAATGTCAACCAGGATTTACAGGGGATGGAAAAACATGCGAGGGTAGGTCAAAAACAAAATAACTAGCGAGAAGCGGTTTTTCGCGCTTTTTTTTTCGATCCGTTTTCCCCACTATCTTGGAGCCTGGAACAGGCTAAAACCAGCCCCTATCCTAAGCTTTTGATCTAAAAGGTTGTTGTGAGGATAGCGAACAGTTCCTTACTTCACTGGTCATCATTTCGCAGCACAACTTGAGCAAAATTAATTTATAAATAGTTCAGGAAATAGAAATCAATGACGAGATCTCATAGTTTGTCTCTGTGACCATCCATACATATCGACGAATGTACAACACAGTCATAATAAAAACAAACAAACTAACAAACTTGATTTAAGAATAACGACTATCACCTTTATAGGTGTTCATTTCAATCATCCGTGGATAACCGCAAGCTTTTTTGAGCAAGTAATTCAGCAAAAAACGTACACACACAAAAGTGACGTTTTCATATATATGTTTTCCGTTCGCATTCCTGCGATTATCGAGAGGGTAAAATATGGATTAAATATCACTATCCATGAATACGGGAGAAAAAAAGTGTTATCAAGCATTTGCGAATATCAAACGTAACGGAAAAAAATAAATAAATAATAAAATCCATAATGATATATATCGTGTAGTTTCCATTTATTACCAGATATCGATGAATGTACAACACAGACTCACGACTGTTCTTCAAATGGCATTTGCACTAATGTGGAGGGATCCTTTCAGTGTGAATGTCAACCAGGATTTACAGGGGATGGAAAAACATGCGAGGGTAGGTCAAAAACAAAATAACTAGCGAGAAGCGGTTTTTCGCGCTTTTTTTCGATCCGTTTTCCCCACTATCTTGGAGCCTGGAACAGGCTAAGAGGAGCCCCTATCCTAAGCTTTTGATGTAAAAGGTTGTTGTGAGGATAGCGAACAGTTGCTTACTTCACTGGTCATCATTTCGCAGCAAAACCTGAGCAAAATTAATTTATAAATAGTTCAGGAAATAGAAATCAATGACGAGATCACATAGTTTGTCTTTGTGACCATCCATAGATATCGACGAATTTACAACAGAGTCATGAAAAAAAACAACCAAACTAACAAACTTGACTTAAGAATAACTACTGTGACCTTTATCGGTGTTCATTTCAATCATCCGTGGATAACCTTTTTTGTAGCCTGCGTAGCTGGCGGTATTGTGTGGGTGCGAAATTAATGCGGCGGAGCCGTGTTCCAAAAAAAGGGAATGGGGACGAGGCGGTTGAAATACCGCCTGCCAAAAAACCGCGGTATTTTGAATAGTCCGCACACCAGTGTGCGGGGAAACGGATTGGTCGAGAGCCATGCATATGTCAATCATGTTAGATGAGCCTTCGCATGTATTTCCCAATTTTAATAGAGAGCAGATGGCAAACTGAAAAGACGTACATGTAAAGTGATTGGGATAGTGATTTCCGCTTTAAAAAGAATAAAATTGATGACCAAATTGCCGAAATGGTGTCTTTAAACTTCACAGCGCTGGAACTCTCTTTATTTAGCCGTAAGAAACAAAGGTCAAAGAAAATTAAAACACCATACAACTGCATCTGAGATCAAATCCTATCAGGAACACCTACAGAAGAATAAACCACGGGAAATGGTTACTCAGTATGTAACAAACCAGCTTCATGACCTTTTGATGTTAAGCCTGGTGTTGCAAAAAAAGATTTACTCAGTCAAAGTTTAGAATGATACATGCACTGTGTATCTAGTAACCTTCGCGCGAGAGCCGAGAAAATAAAAAAACCTCTGTTCAAGCAAACTCACAACTTCACGTTTCCTATACATTATCACGAGCTTAGGAGTCGTGTTTAGCCTGTCAACGCTTATTTCTAAACGGTCTCGCGCGAAAATAATCGGAAGTTTCAAATTGCAGGTTTCTCCATGACTGGCTGATTTAATTGCGATCAGCTAAGGTGACAAAAGTGGGCGGCATTCGAAAAATCATGGTTCTCTTGCAGGCGGTATTTCTCGCGGCTTGGCCGCTCGTGACGGCTCTGCCATCAAATCTCACTCGACTATACTACAACGGCTCCGCCGCCAAATCTCACTCGACTACTATACAATACCGCCAGCTACACAGGCTACCTTTTCTGAGAAAGTAATTCAGCAAAAAACACACCCACAAAACTCACGTTTCCATATATATGTTTTCCGTTCGCATTCTTGCGATTATCGAAAGGTTAAAATATGGATTAAATATCACTATCCATAAATACGGGAGGAAAAAAGTGTTATCAAGCATTTGCGAATATCAAACGTAACGGAAAAAAATAAATAAATAAAAAATCCATAATGATAATTATATCGTGTAGCTTCCATTTATTACTAGATATCAATGAATGTACAACACAGACTCACGACTGCTCTTCAAATGGCATTTGCACTAATGTGGAGGGATCCTTTCAGTGTGAATGTCAACCAGGATTTACAGGGGATGGAAAAACATGCGAGGGTAGGTCAAAAACAAAATAACTAGCTAGAAGCGGTTTTTCCAGCTTTTTTTTCGATCCGTTTTCCCCACTATCTTGGAGCCTGGAACAGGCTAAGACGAGCCCCTATCCTAAGCTTTTGATCTAAAAGGTTGTTGTGAGGATAACAAACAGTTCCTTACTTCACTGGTCATCATTTCGCAGCAAAACTTGAGCAAGATTAATTCATAAATAGTTCAAGAAATAGAAATCAATAACGAGATCACATAGTTTGTCTTTGTGACCATCCATAGATATCGACGAATATCCAACATAGTCATGATAAAAACAAACAAACTAACAAACTTCATTTAAGAATAACTACTATGACCTTTATCGGTGTTCATTTCAAGCATCCGTGGATAACCTTTTTCGAGAAAGTACCGTAAAATTCCGAAAATAAGCCCCTTCATCTATAAGCCCCTCCAAATATAAGCGCCCCAAACTGCTGACGCAAAAACCCCTCCGTTAAATCGCCCCTCCAAATATAAGCCCCTCGGGGGCTTGTACTTGTAAAATTGCCCTCAAAGACAAAGTAAAACAAATCAAAAAGGGTAAATTTACTTCCAACTATACAGCTAGCCCAATCGATTTTGAAACGCAAATTTCCCTCCGTAGATAAGCCCCTCCGAATATAAGCCCCTGCAAAAATAAGCCCCTCAAAAAGGGCCTTTGAAAAATGTGAGCCCCGGGGCTTATTTTCGGAATTTTACGGCAATTCAGCAAAAAACACACACACACAAAAGTGACGTTTTCATATATATGTTTTCCGTTCGCATTCTTGCGATTCTCGAAAGGTTAAAATATGGATTGAATATCACTATCCATGAAGACGGGAGGAAAAAAGTGTAATCAGCATATGCGAATATCAAACGTAACAGAAAAAAAAAAAATAAATAAAAAAATCCATAATGATATATTTCGTGTTGCTTCCATTTATTACTAGATATCGATGAATGTACAACACAGACTCACGACTGCTCTTCAAATGGCATTTGTAATAATGTGGAGGGATCCTTTCAGTGTGAATGTCAACCAGGATTTACAGGGGATGGAAAAACATGCGAGGGTAGGTCAAAAACAAAATAACTAGCGAGAAGCGGTTTTTCCGGCTTTTTTTTTTCGATCCGTTTTCCCCACTATCTTGGAGCCTGGAACAGGCTAAAACCAGCCCCTATCCTAAGCTTTTGATCTAAAAGGTTGTTGTGAGGATAGCGAACAGTTCCTTACTTCACTGGTCATCATTTCGCAGCACAACTTGAGCAAAATTAATTTATAAGTAGTTCAGGAAATAGAAATCAATGACGAGATCTCATAGTTTGTCTCTGTGACCATCCATACATATCGACGAATGTACAACACAGTCATAATAAAAACAAACAAACTAACAAACTTGATTTAAGAATAACGACTATCACCTTTATAGGTGTTCATTTCAATCATCCGTGGATAACCGCAAGCTTTTTTGAGCAAGTAATTCAGCAAAAAACGAACACACACAAAAGTGACGTTTTCATATATATGTTTTCCGTTCGCATTCCTGCGATTATCGAGAGGGTAAAATATGGATTAAATATCACTATCCATGAATACGGGAGAAAAAAAGTGTTATCAAGCATTTGCGAATATAAAACGTAACGGAAAAAAATAAATATATAAAAAAATCCATAATGATATATATCGTGTAGTTTCCATTTATTACCAGATATCGATGAATGTACAACACAGACTCACGACTGTTCTTCAAATGGCATTTGCACTAATGTGGAGGGATCCTTTCAGTGTGAATGTCAACCAGGATTTACAGGGGATGGAAAAACATGCGAGGGTAGGTCAAAAACAAAATAACTAGCGAGAAGCGGTTTTTCGCGCTTTTTTTCGATCCGTTTTCCCCACTATCTTGGAGCCTGGAACAGGCTAAGAGGAGCCCCTATCCTAAGCTTTTGATGTAAAAGGTTGTTGTGAGGATAACGAACAGTTCCTTACTTCACTGGTCATCATTTCGCAGCAAAACTTCAGCAAAATAATTTTATAAATAGTTCAGGAAATAGAAATCAATGACGTGATCACATAGTTTGTCTTTGTAACCATCCATAGATATCGACGAATTTACAACAGAGTCATGAAAAAAAACAACCAAACTAACAAACTTGACTTAAGAATAACTACTGTGACCTTTATCGGTGTTCATTTCAATCATCCGTGGATAACCTTTTTTGTAGCCTGCGTAGCTGGCGGTATTGTGTGGGTGCGAAATGAATGCGGCGGAGCCGTGTTCCAAAAAAAGGGAATAGGGACGAGGCGGTTGAAATACCGCCTGCCAAAAAACCGCGGTATTTTGAATAGTCCGCACACCAGTGTGCGGGGAAACGGATTGGTCGAGAGCCATGCATATGTCAATCATGTTAGATGAGCCTTCGCATGTATTTCCCAATTTTAATAGAGAGCAGATGGCAAACTGAAAAAGACGTACATGTAAAGTGATTGGGATAGTGATTTCCGCTTTAAAAAGAATAAAATTGATGACCAAATTGCCGAAATGGTGTCTTTAAACTTCACAGCGCTGGAACTCTCTTTATTTAGCCGTAAGAAACAAAGGTCAAAGAAAATTAAAACACCATACAACTGCATCTGAGATCAAATCCTATCAGGAACACCTACAGAAGAATAAACCACGGGAAATGGTTACTCAGTATGTAACAAACCAGCTTCATGACCTTTTAATGTTAATCCTGGTGTTGCAAAAAAAGATTTACTCAGTCAAAGTTTAGAATGATACATGCACTGTGTATCTAGTAACCTTCGCGCGAGAGCCGAGAAAATAAAAAAACCTCTGTTCAAGCAAACTCACAACTTCACGTTTCCTATACATTATCACGAGCTTAGGAGTCGTGTTTAGCCTGTCAACGCTTATTTCTAAACGGTCTCGCGCGAAAATAATCGGAAGTTTCAAATTGCAGGTTTCTCCTTGACTGGCTGATTTAATTGCGATCAGCTAAGGTGACAAAAGTGGGCGGCATTCGAAAAATCATGGTTCTCTTGCAGGCGGTATTTCTCGCGGCTTGGCCGCTCGTGACGGCTCTGCCGTCAAATCTCACTCGACTACTATACAATACCGCCAGCTACACAGGCTACCTTTTCTGAGAAAGTAATTCAGCAAAAAACACACCCACAAAACTCACGTTTCCATATATATGTTTTCCGTTCGCATTCTTGCGATTATCGAAAGGTTAAAATATGGATTAAATATCACTATCCATAAATACGGGAGGAAAAAAGTGTTATCAAGCATTTGCGAATATCAAACCTAACGGAAAAAAATAAATAAATAAAAAAATCCATAATGATAATTATATCGTGTAGCTTCCATTTATTACTAGATATCAATGAATGTACAACACAGACTCACGACTGCTCTTCAAATGGCATTTGCACTAATGTGGAGGGATCCTTTCAGTGTGAATGTCAACCAGGATTTACAGGGGATGGAAAAACATGCGAGGGTAGGTCAAAAACAAAATAACTAGCGAGAAGCGGTTTTTTGCGTTTTTTTCGATCCGTTTCCCCCACTATCTTGGAGCCTGGAACAGGCTAAAACCAGCCCCTATCCAAGCTTTTGATCTAACAGGTTGTTGTGAGGATAACGAACAGTTCCATACTTCACTGGCCATCTTTTCGCAGGAAAACTTGAGCAAAATTAATTTATAAATAGTTCAGGAAATAGAAATTAATGACGAGATCAAATAGTTTGTCTTTGTGACCATCCATAGATATCGACGAATATACAACACAGTCATGAAAAAAAAACAAACAAACTAAAAAACTTAAATTTAAGAATAATTACCGTGACCTTTATCGGTGTTCATTTGAATCATCCGTGTATAACCTTTTTTGAGAAAGCAATTCAGCAAAAAACACACACGCACAATGTTACCAATGGTACCATTGGTACCAATGGAAAAGCACCCTATTCCAATGGTTTTGTTGGTGAATATGCATCTCATTAAGGAGACTTAGATTATTTTCTCATGTGGTCTAGCTGGGTACAGAGCAATTACAATGGTCCATTGCTACCAATGGTACGATTGGTACCAATAGAAAAGCACCCTATTCCAATGGTTCTGTTGGTGAATATGCATCTCATTAAGGGGACTTAGATTATTTGCTCATGTGGTCTAGCTGGGTACAGGGCAATTCCAATGGTCCATTGGTACCAATGGTACGGTTGGTACCAATAGAAAAGCATCCTATTCCAATGGTTCTATTGGTGAATATGCATCTCATTAAGCAGACTTAGATTATTTTCCCATGTGACCTGGTTGGGTACAGGGCAATTCCAATGGTCCATTGGTACCATTGGTACGATTGGTACCAATGGAAAAGCACCCTATTCCAACGGTTTTGTTGGTGAATATGCATCTCATTAAGGAGACTTAGATTATTTTCTCATGTGGTCTAGCTGGGTACAGAGCAATTCCAATGGTCCATTGGCACCAATGGTACGATTGGTACCAATAGAAAAGCACCCTATTCCAATGGTTCTATTGGTGAATATGCATCGCATTAAGGGGACTTAGATTATTTGCTCGTGTGGTCTGGCTGGGTACAGGGCAATTCCAATGGTCCATTGGTACCAATGGTACGATTGGTACCAATGAAAAAGCACCCTATTCCAATGGTTCTATTGGTGAATATGCATCTCATTAAGAGGACTTAGATTATTTTCCCATGTGACCTGGTTGGGTACAGGGCAATTCCAATGGTCCATTGGTACCAATGGAAATGCACCCTATTCCAATGGTTCTATTGGTGAATATGCATCTCATTAAGGGGACTTAGATTATTTTCCCATGTGACCTGGCTGGGTACAGGGCAATTCCGATGGTCCAATGGTACCAATGGTGCGATTGGTACCAATGGAAAATCATGCCATTCCAATGGTTCTATTGGTGAATATGCTTCTCATTAAGGGGACTTAGATTATTTTCTCATGTGGTCTAGCTGGGTACAGGGCAATTTCAATGGTCCATTGGTACCAATGGTACTATTGGTACCAATAGAAAAGCACCCTATTCCAATGGTTCTATTGGTGAATATGCATCTCATTTAAAGAGTTAGATTATTTTCTCAAGCGGTCTAACTGGGTACAAGGCAATTCCAATGGTCCATTGGTACCAATGGTACGAATGGTACCAATGAAGAAGCACCCTATTCCAATGGTTCTATTGGTGAATATGCTTTTCATTAAGGGGACTGAGATTATTTTCTCATGTGGTCTAGCTGGGTACAGGGCAATTCCAATGGTCCATTGGCACCAATGGTACTATTGGTACCAATAGAAAAGCACCCTATTCCAATGGTTCTATTGGTGAATATGCTTTTCATTAAGGGGACTGAGATTATTTTCTTATGTGGTCTAGCTGGGTACAGGGCAATTCCAATGGTCCATTGGCACCAATGGTACTATTGGTACCAATAGAAAAGCACCCTATTCCAATGGTTCTATTGGTGAATATGCATCTCATTAAGAGAGTTAGATTATTTTCTCAAGCGGTCTAACTGGGTACAGGGCAATTCCAATGGTCCATTGGTACCAATGGTACGATTTGTACCAATGGAAAAGCACCCTATTCCAATGGTTCTATTGGTGAATATGCATCTCATTAAGGAGACAGATTATTTTCAGATGTGGTCTGGCTGGGTACAGGGCAATTCCAATGGTCCATTGGTACCAATGGTACGAATGGTACCAATGGAAAAGCACCCTATGCCAATGGTTCTATTGGTAAATATGCTTCTCATTAAGGGGACTTAGATTATTTTCTCATGTGGTCTAGCTGGGTACAGGGCAATTCCAATGGTCCATTGGTACCAATGGTACGATTTGTACCAATGGAAAAGCACCCTATTCCAATGGTTCTATTGGTGAATATGCATCTCATTAAGGAGACTTAGATTATTTTCAGATGTGGTCTGGCTGGGTACAGGGCAATTCCAATGGTCCATTGGTACCAATGGTACGAATGGTACCAATGGAAAAGCACCCTATTCCAATGGTTCTATTGGTGAATATGCTTCTCATTAAGGGGACTTAGATTATTTTCTCATGTGGTCTAGCTGGGTACAGAGCAATTCCAATGGTCCGTTGGTACCAATGGTACGATTGGTACCAATAGAAAAGCACCCTATTCCAATGGTTCTATTTTTGAATATGCATCTCATTAAGAGAGTTAGATTATTTGCTCATGTGGTATGGCTGGGTAAAGGGCAATTCCAATGGTCTATTGGTACGAATGGAACGATTGGTACCAATAGAAAATGATGTCATTCCAGTGGTTCTATTGGTGAATATGCATCCATTAAAAAATAAAAATCTCCGTCGATTCATATGTTTATGAGTGATAAGGAGACATTCAAACTTCTGCTGTTTTTCCACGGCAACGGATGCAATCCTTTTACTTGGTGTAAAAGCGAACTTGTTTTGCGTGATTGGGATATAGAACGAGGAATATTCATAAGAATTATTAGCACGTTTTTACTTGGTTTTAAAGCGAACTTGTTTTGCATGGTTGGCTTATAGAACGAGGAATATTCGTAAGAATCATAGCGCGCTTTTACTTGGTGTAAAAGCGAACTTGGTTTGCGTGATTGGGATATAGAACGAGGAATATTCATAAGAATTATAGCGCGCTTTTACTTGATGTAAAAGCGAACTTGTTTTGCGTGGTTTTCTTATAGAACGAGGAACGTTCATAATAATTATTAGCGCGTTTTCACTTGGTGTAAAAGTGAACTTGTTTTGCACCAATAGAACCATTGGAATGGCATGATTTTCCATTGGTGCCAATCGCACCATTGGTACCAATGGACCATCGGAATTGCCCTGTACCCAGCCAGGTCACATGGGAAAATAATCTAAGTCCCCTTAATGAGATGCATATTCACCAATAGAACCATTGGAATAGGGTGCTTTTCCATTGGTACCAATGGACCATTGGAATTGCCCTGTACCCAGCCAGGTCACATGGGAAAATAATCTAAGTCCCCTTAATGAGATGCATATTCACCAATAGAACCATTGGAATAGGGTGCTTTTCCATTGGTACCAATCGTACCATTGGTACCGATGGACCATTGGAATTGCCCTGTACCCAACCAGGTCACATGGGAAAATAATCTAAGTCCCCTTAATGAGATGCATATTCACCAATAGAACCATTGGAATAGGGTGCTTTTCCATTGGTACCAATCGTACCATTGGTACCAATGGACCATTGGAATTGCCCTGTACCCAACCAGGTCACATGGGAAAATAATGTAAGTCCCCTTAATTAGATGCATATGCACCAACAGAACCATTGGAATAGGGTGCTTTTCTATTGGTACCAATCGTACCATTGGCACCAATGGACCATCAGTTTGACGAATCGTATCCGTTTGTGTTTATTGGACATGCGTGAAAAGAAGTACATGTAAAGTGATTGGGATAGTGATTTCCGCTTTAAAAAGAATAAAATTGATGACCAAATTGCCGAAATGGCGTCTTTAAACTTCACAGCGCTGGAACTTTCTTTATTTAGCCGTAAGAAACAAAGGTCAAAGAAAATTAAAACACCATACAACTGCATCTGAGATCAAATCCTATCAGGAACACCTACAGAAGAATAAACCACGGGAAATGGTTACTCAGTATGTAACAAACCAGCTTCATGACCTTTTAATGTTAAGCCTGGTTTTGCAAAAAAAGATTTACTCAGTCAAAGTTTAGAATGATACATGCACTGTGTATCTAGTAACCTTCGCGCGAGAGCCGAGAAAATAAAAAAACCTCTGTTCAAGCAAACTCACAACTTCACGTTTCCTATACATTATCACGAGCTTAGGAGTCGTGTTTAGCCTGTCAACGCTTATTTCTAAACGGTCTCGCGCGAAAATAATTGGAAGTTTCAAATTTCAGGTTTCTCCTTGACTGGCTGATTTAATTGCGATCAGCTAAGGTGACAAAAGTGGGCGGCATTCGAAAAATCATGGTTCTCTTGCAGGCGGTATTTCTCGCGGCTTGGCCGCTCGTGACGGCTCTGCCGTCAAATCTCACTCGACTATACTACAACGGCTCCGCCGCCAAATCTCACTCGACTACTATACAATACCGCCAGCTACACAGGCTACCTTTTCTGAGAAAGTAATTCAGCAAAAAACACACCCACAAAAGTGACGTTTTCATATAAATGTTTTCCGTTCGCATTCTTGCGATTATCAAAAGGTTAAAATATGGATTAAATATCACTATCCATAAATACGGGAGGAAAAAAGTGTTATCAAGCATTTACGAATATCAAACGTAACGGAAAAAATAAATAAATAAAAAAATCTATAATGATAATTACATCGTGTAGCTTCCATTTATTACTAGATATCGATGAATGTACAACACAGACTCACGACTGCTCTTCAAATGGCATTTGCACTAATGTGGAGGGATCCTTTCAGTGTGAATGTCAACCAGGATTTACAGGGGATGGAAAAACATGCGAGGGTAGGTCAAAAACAAAATAACTGGCGAGAAGTGGTTTTTTGCGCTTTTTTTCGATCCGTTTCCCCCACTATCTTAGAGCCTGGAACAGGCTAAAACCAGCCCCTATCCTCAGCTTTTGATGTAAAAAGTTGTTGTGAGGATAACGAAGAGTTGCTTACTTCACAGGAAATAGAAATCAATGACGAGATCAAATAGTTTGTCTTTGTAACCATCCATAGATATCGACGAATATACAACACAGTCATGAAAAAAACAAACAATCTAAAAAACTTAAATTTAAGAACAACTATTGTGACCTTTATCGGTGTTCATTTCAATCATCTGTGGATAACCTTTTTTGAGAAAGTAATTCAGCAAAAAACAGACACGCAGAAAAGTGACGTTTTCATATATATGTTTTCCGTTCGCATTCTTGCGATTATCGAATGGTTAAATATGGATTGAATATCACTATCCATGAATACGGGAGGAAAAAAGTGTTATCAATCATTTGCGAATATCAAACGTAACGGAAAAAAAATAAATAAATAAAAAAATCCATAATGATATATATCGTGTAGTTTCCATTTATTACCAGATATCGATGAATGTACAACACAGACTCACGACTGCTCTTCAAATGGCATTTGCACTAATGTGGAGGGATCCTTTCAGTGTGAATGTCAACAAGGATTTACAGGGGATGGAAAAACATGCGAGGGTAGGTCAAAAACAAAATAACTAGCGAGAAGCGGTTTTTCGCGCCTTTTTTTCGATCCGTTTTCCCCACTATCTTGGAGCCTGGAACAGGCTAAGACGAGCCCCTATCCTAAGCTTTTGATGTAAAAGGTTGTTTTGAGGATAACGAACAGTTGCTTACTTCACTGGTCATCATTTCGCAGCAAAACTTGAGCAAAATTAATTTATAAATAGTTCAGGAAATAGAAATCAATGACGAGATCACATAGTTTGTTTTTGTGACCATCCATAGATATCGACGAATGCACAACATAAAAAACAAAATAAACTAAGAAACTTGATTTAAGAATAACTACTATGACCTTTATCGGTGTTCATTGCAATCATCCGTGGATAACCTTCTTTTGAGAAAGTAATTGAGCAAAAAACACACACACACAAAAGTGACGTTTTCTTATATATATGTTTTCCGTTCGCATTCTTGCGATTATCAAAAGGTTAAAATATGGATGGAATATCACTATCAATGAATACAGGAGGAAAAAAGGGGAGCGTACGTGATTATTTTTAACGTTTCAGATTGACTCAAGTCCCCAGGCTAAATCTACCTATGATAACTATCTAGCGTTGACCAATGTGGAAGGCGTTTTCGAACCCGTTTTTCATCAAATGCAAGATATCACCCGAAAAAAGGGGCCAACAATTGTAAACACTCTCCTCGTCTAAATGCTCTTCTCAATTTTTTTTTTTTACAATTCAGTTTAGATATTCTTAAACACGTCAAGTTTGGACTTGTTTTTTTTTTTTTAGTTAGATAGTGGTTGAAGCCGCAGGTTTGGAGAAAGTTCTCTGAAAGCAAAACAAATAAACAGAAACAAGCAAACAACAGGAACAAATTAAAAACAAAACGATGTAACGAGAACGCGGGGAAAACGAGCCACACTTTGAGGAGGTTCATAACACTGCGCCACTATAGAAACGAGAAGGTGACTGGGTCGAGTTGACTTTCGCAAAGGTCTTTGGGACTGTCACCAGGGCCAATTCGAGACGAAGGCATTCTCAGTATAACGATCCCAGAGACAATTGTGCGAAATTTCGACGCAAGTCACCTTCTCATCACGAATTGCTCCCCTTGAGGCAAAAAGTACAATCCACAGCAGGTGAAATTAGAAGCTATGTGTAGGAAACTAAAGGGTATTTAAAGTGTCTTGGATCAAAGTGGGAATTTCTTCAACATAAAATCTATGTACTCGCTTGGATGAAAAGCTTGCTTTCAGGATAGCGGCAAATATACCACCGACGGTTAATAAAGCTGTTCGATCTTTCAAGCGATGCTTTTGTTCTTGAAGTTAGCATCTTAAGTAGACGTCTCAGCTACGTCTAAGGTGATGATACAAACTTTTCTTCTCCCTTAGTTTCTTGCTTCAATAATCCCATCGGTGTTGCTGATTCAAATATCATCCTTAACAACCAAATGACTGCTTCAACAAGGTATTCTGGTCATCCTGCTCATCACGGTAGACTTCATTACAGTAACAGTGCCTGGTGCGCTCAAAGCAGTTCCGGAAGTCAAGATTGGCTTCGAATTGATCTGGGAACAACATATCAAATATGTGGTGCTGCTACCCAGGGTACTGGACACCAGGTATACAACGAATACGTAACGAAATTCAAATTGTCTTACTCCTCAGATGGAAGCAGCTGGACTATGTATACTGGTACTGGAGGCTCAGAAACGGTAAGGTTAAAAGCACGAAATTAAGGCCAAAAATTTATAAATTGCACAAATATGGCAGAATTTCGAGGCCTTTGCAAAAACGTTGCCCTATTAGATTTACTGATTTCTTTCTGTGCCGTTCAAAGAAAAAAAAACAGTTTGTTGAGGGCTGTTCGCTTGAAAAGCAATTTTTTTTCAGATAATCTCGGTCGGAATTAATTCTTTTGCATGTAAATAACCTTAAACAACAATTAGAGAAGAAAGTTAAATAATCTGTGTTAATACAGTTATTGTATTTTGTGTATCCTGCTCCATTATTCAGTGGTTTCACCTGACAAAAGTCAGAATCCTATGACGTTTTACGGCCTAAACCAAAAAGCACCTTCTTGAATCTGCCATTTTGAATCAATGAAATATTTTCCATGTTGCTTAAAACCCTTATAAACTCGAAGTAATATCATAGAACATTTGATCTGTGCTTAAAAGAGTGCTTAGGACCTCTGACTTCTGTCGAAAATTGACCCAGCATCTGCTTTTTGATCCTTTTAAGAGGGTGCCAATGGGCAATACACCCAGGTGAAGACGACGTATATAAGAGAACTTGGAAAAGGTCTAGACCTATTCATGACCGGACAAAAAAAAAAATTTAAGATCTACATTTGAATTATAAAATCGTACCTTACTTTTTCTTATTTTTTGGCTTAGGAATTTCACAGAAATGGGGGCAAAAATACAGTCGATGAACAGCTCTTGCCATCGCCACTGTCCACACGCTACATCCGCTTCCATCCAACAGATCAATTTAGGTGGAACTGCCTCAGAGTGGAACTATACGGCACAACGACTTCAAAATAATCAGCAGTCATACACTTAGAAAACCCTTGATTACCAACACACAGGCGGCCCAAAATCGCCATGTAATCTTTTGTTAACCCTCGGACATACACGCAAATTGATACCCCCACAATGGTACATACAAGAGGGGGGGTGAATAGAACCAATTCCCGGAATTTTTGATATGTTGCAGTACACTGTATTTTAAAGCGATTTTACCTTTAGTGGAAAGCCTTTGATCTTCTCAACAAGATGAAGTATGTTTTAGGGATGGTGGCGCTGCTGAAGGCCTGTGACGTCACCAACAATGGTCGTTATCTTGGCCGCCATCTTGGATTTTACCAAGAATTAAAAAACAGGTTAAAACCGCAAGAAATGGTAATATTTTGTGCTTTACATGAACAATAAGATTATATATATAAGCACTTTGCATGATTTTAGCCAGAAGATTTACTTTTATTGTTGAAAGAAGTTGAAAAAACATGTATTTTCACCCAAAATTGGCTTGACCACCGGCTATTCATGACGTCATATTTCGTAACCATAGTAGCTGACCATCACTACTTTTGTCTCAAAATGTGCCCGAGGGATGAATGAACAACCGTGCATGACCGTGCATAGCCACACATAGCCGTTCATAGCCGTGCATAGCCGTGAATAGCCGTACATAACCGTGCATAGCCGTACATAAGCCCTACACAGCCTTACACAGTCGTACCATGGCGTGCGTAGCCATGCATGGCTGTACATAGCCGTAATAAGCCCTACATAGCCTTATATAGCCGTATACAGCCCTGCATAGCCCTGCATGGCCGTATATAGCCGTGCATAACGCTACATAGCTGTGCATGGCCGTGCATAGCCGTGCATAGCCCTACATAAGCTCCACATACAATCGGCGACAAAATGAGTTGAGACACCTAGCCCAAAACTGGGCTTTTTACGTTTTATGAACTTCAAAAGGAGAAAATATAGCCTTTCCTCTCCCTCCTCCCCTCCGTGAAATGTTGTGCCAATGTTTGAGCTACCTATAGAAAACAATAAACACCCCAACATTGAATGGAGGGGACAGGGGAGGGGTGCGGATTCTTTTGCTCTCCGAAGTTACCCTATTTAAGTCTCAACAATTTTGTCGCCGATTGTAGCCTTACAAGGCCGTACTATGCCGTGCATAGCCATGCATGGCCATACATAGCCGTGAATAGCCATACAAAGCCGTACATAACCGTGCATAGCCGTACATAAGCCCTACATAGCCTTATACAGTCGTACCATGGCGTGCATAGCCCTGCATGGCTGTACTTAGCCTTACATAAGCCCTACGTAGCCTTACATACATAGCCCTGCATAGTCCTGCATGGCCGTATATAGCCGTGCATAACGCTACATAGCTGTACATAGCCTTACATAACTATTCATAGCCGTACATAAGCTCTACACAGCCTTACACATGTCGTACCATGGCGTGCATAGCCACGCATGGCCATACATAGCCGTACATAAGCCCCACATAGCCCTACATAACCCTACATAGCCGTACATAAGCCCCACATAGCCCTACATAACCCTACATAGCCGTGCATAGACCTTCATAGCCGTGCATAGCCATGCATGGCCGTATATAGCCGTACATAGCCGTGCATAGCCGTACATAACCCTACAAAGCCTTCCATAGCGGTGCATATGCATACATAGCCCCACATAACCCTACGTACATGGCCGTGCATAGCCGTGCATCGCCGTGCATAGCCTTGTATGGCCGCACCTAGCCGCCCAGAGCCGGGCATTGCCTTACATAGCTGTAGATGGCAGTACATTGCCGTACATACTCGTGCAGGGCCGTACAGAGCCGCGCATAGCCGTGCGTAGCCGTACATAGCCACGCACAGTCGTGCATAGCCGCACATAGCCGTACACAGCCGTGCATAGCGGCGCATAGCCGTCCATAGCCGTACATAGTCGCCCATAGCAATACATAGCCCCACATAGCCTTACATAGCCGTACATAGCCGCGCACAGTCGTGCATAGCCGCACATAGCCGTACACAGCCGTGCATAGCGGCGCATAGCCGTACATAGTCGCCCATAGCAGTACATAGCCCTACATAGCCGTGCATAGCCGCACATAGCCTCTGATAGGCATTGCCGTACCGAGGCGCGCATAGCCAGGCATAGCCGTACATAGCCGCGCATAGCCGTGCATAGGCTACATAGACTCTACATAGCCTTACACAACCGTATCATGCCGTGCATAGCCATGCATAGCTGTACATAAGCCCTAGATAGCCGTACATAGCCTTACATAGCCAAGCATAGCCGTAGATAACCATACACAGCCGTACATAGCGGTGCATAAACCTACATACCTATGCATAACCTTACATAGCCGTACCTAAGCCCTACATAGCCATGCATAGCCCTACATGGCCGTACATAACCGTGAATAGCCATGCGTAGCTGCACAAAGCCGTACATAGCCGTTCATAGCCGTGCATAACTGTACATAGCAGTATATAACCGTGCATAGCCGTGCATGGCAGTACATAGCCGTGCATAACCGTACATTACCGTACATACCCGTTCAGGGCCGTACAGAGCCGTACATCATAGCTTTGCATAACCGTACAAAGCGCTAAATAGCCATACAGGGCCGTACATAGCCTTACGTAGCCCTACATAGCAGCATATAGCCGTGTATATCCATACATAGCCGTACATAACCCTATATAGCCGTGCATAGCGTTACATAGCCATGCATAGCCGTTTGAAGCCGTGCATGGCCGTCATAGCCGTACATAGCATTGCACAGCCGTACATAGCTGTGCATAGCGGTGCATTTAGCCGTGCATGGCCGTACATAGCCGTAGGCATATCAATACATAGTGAAACTAGGCTTTATACGGCGGATCGCGTCGTTAAGACTTATTTTAGCTACGTTTACGTGAGAAAAAATAGGTGTGACATGCAGTAGGTATAATAATGAACCCGAGAAAAACCAGTAAACATATCGTTAATCCTATCAATTTAATTATTCCTATAATTATTAACTATTAATTAAGTATCGAAAGAAGTTCTCTTGTATCTTATTTACAGTCATCGATTTTTTTTACACGGCGCTCACGTTGTCCGTGGAGATATAAAAAAGCTTTGTTTTTGCACCCTTTACCTCAGGGCTGCTCTTTAGCGATATGTACACGCGTGTAAAAAGTAGCCTCTGCCTCCGTACATTCCCGTGCAAAAAATGTTTACAACAAAAGCAATGATAAAAAGTAGTTTTTAACGAGTTTCCTAAAAGTTTGGATATTGTATAAGCCTTTTTTTTTTCTACAGCACAGTGTTCATTATTTCGGCTGTCATGTGTTACCATCGGTGAGCGCGTCATTAAAGAAACATAACGCTTAGGCAATTTTGGTCGGATTTATCACACGACCGAAAACGGCGTTTTATATTAAGAAATAAAGCGGAAAACTCTTGTGACTTTAGTCATTGAGCAAATTGTATAGTTAGACGTTAAAATTATTTTTATCTGAAAGCGTGTTTAGTGTTGCCACTACAAAATGCGTTTGCTTCAGAATGACGCACTGATCCTGCGTATGCTGACAGAAAAAAGCGCCATTTGCTCAAGAATAAAAGTTTGGACGGCTATCCGCAGGTTCCTTTTTGCTCGCAGGTGAATATTGCGAAAACGTAACCCCCACTGGCTCAGTACCGTGACTAATCCATGCCCATAAAAATTGCATACTAAAATAAAAATGAATAATAAAGAATAAAAATGTCAATGACAACATGTGTAATAAACATATGAAATAAACAAAAGGAAAATACAGCTTCGGGGAATATCGTTTGTGATCGATGTTTTGTCTGAAATATGTTTTTCGCAATGAAAAGTACGTTTTTCTCAACGAAGGGCAAATGGGTATTTGTACCGAAGACGTGTCGGCCTTCGGCCAACACCGAAAATTCCCGCCGCACGCGAGAAAAACCTCTGTTGCCCAGGGTAGGGTATTTGCGACTCAAATGGGTATTTGTTGCGAGGTAAAGTTTAGCCGGTAAATTCTTAAAATAGTAAAAGAGCAGCTATCAACAAGTGAAATGTACGCAAACCATTATGCGAAGCGAGTTGCAAACAACAATCCATGGAAAATTCTCCCCAAAAGAGATTTTTTAACTTTACTCTCCATGTTTTTAATTCAAACTTTTTTCGAATTTACCGTTTGAAAATAGCAGAGCGAGAACAAATAGAAAATACGCAGTCGACAATCTAAAGAGAGAGAGAGAGGGAGGGAGAGAGAGAAAGACGACTGGGGACGAGTCAGGTCTCACCATCTTGTTTCTGGTCGACCCTGTTTTCTGGTCCAATCTCTCGGGGTCCACTATGTTGCTCTGATGGTCCAACGATAATCATGCAGATAACCGTGCGATGTGACCTGCCCAGTTATGCTTTGCTTTCCTGATAGCGTTGATGATACCGCTTACGCCAGTTTCTTGTTGGATCTAGGTGTTTCGCTTTCGATCTCGAATGGTAATGCCTAGCATTATGCGTTCCATCTTACGCTGTGCCACCGCAAGATTATCCATCATAGCGTTTTGTTAAATTTGAAAGAGTTCTCGTTTCTTCTACCGACAGAATCGTAGCTTTTCGAGCCCGAGTTAGCATTTTTAAAAAAAGGTTTTAAGTTGTTGTAACGATTATAATTTTTGTAGTCTATGAAGCATATCGCACATTTTTCAGTGAATGCACCCCTGAACATTTGTGAGCAATTCATAGACAAGAAGAAAACAATGGTAACTCATGGCAACTTTTTTTTATCAGATACTGTTATGCATAAGTATATTCAAAGCTGAATTTACACATAACTGGGCCCGATAGAAAAAAAAACAAAATGAACTTGCGGTGAACACAAAAGTGGGCCAGCTTTTTCTTTTAGGTCTTTTCTTGAGACATTATTTTGTTGACTCTAACATCCGTAAGCTGTAAATTGCTTTAAATTTTTTTCATATCAGTCGTTTTCACTCAGTTACCTCGAACTCCAAATCATTTTCCCCTCCCGCGACTTTGGACCCACGACCCCCGACTCGCGACTATTAGTCAAACTGTCTGCAGCATCTTGAAACTTGTTTACTTTGACAGCTGAAGCTGACAGTTTTGTGTCAACTTGTGATGTTTTTAACTGTATCATTCTACTGGATGTACAAAATGACATTCAGCTGCTATCAAGAGTCTTCTGTTATTCATGGCTAGTTTGTTTATTGGGTTTTTGGTTGAGAAATACGTCGCTTGTCTTTCGGATGGCATCGTTTTCGTTTTTCACCTTGCTTGATGTAGCCTGAAATTCATCCGATTGCTTTGAGTCGTTTTCTCCTCTCAACAACACGTTACTGAGGGAGTAATAACGGCTCGAAGTAATCGGATGAAATTCAGGCTATGCTTGATGCGTAAGAGGGTTGAAAAGTCTGAAGCAATTCTGGCCTTATTTGATAGCTTCCAGGAGCTACATCTTGAATGTCAATAACCAAAGGGTATGCATTACAGATAAGTAATAAGTACAGTTCGCAATACAATGAGAACAAATTCTGCTGAATGCAGGGATCGGTTAAAGTACCGGAGTTTATGCCACACCGTGTGGCTTTACTTCTCCTCAAGACGGGAACCTTCGGTGCTAAAACTGGTAGGAGATTTCCGTACATGCTATATCTTGCTTTGCTGAGATTTTTTTCGAAAAGAGAAGGGCAAATATACAGTAACTTTGATAAATAGATGTGCTAATCTTGCCCTGCATTCAGCATAAAGTTGTTTTTCTTGCATTGCGAACTGTATTCGCCGTAGGTTTCTGATTACTCAATTTCTTGCAATAAAGCTTTCGCTTAGAATACCCTTGCAGAAAGGAGATAGTCCGTCGGCAGTTTTCCACTATTTGCTCGTCAAATTTCGCTTAATGTGTCAGTGGTGCATTTAAGTCTAAATTTGACCAGCTATTTGTGCAGCGAGTTCTCTATACGGTCACGATTGACTTCAAACTTGCAGATATGAAACTAGAGAGCTCTGAGGCTTATTTGCTGAAGTTAGAGGGAAAGCTGTCTTGGGTTTCGAAAATATTGACATTTTTTGTAAACATGTGGTTTTAAACATATGCCGATATTTCAAACGTTTTTGTACCTACAAGAAAATAAATAACAGTTTCTTAGAGTTCGAGCATTCTTTAGTAAGGATGCCAAAAATCATAGCCGGAAATCAGTTAGATCATTTCTGCCGAAAAACGCGATTCTAAAACATAACCAACGCGCATATGAATAGGTTCGGGCCACCTTTAACCTAGAAGGAGGGCAAGCCATGCATTTGGCCCTTAAAGAAAACAGCTTATTTATTCACCAGAGTAGATTGCCAATTTCGTTTCTTTTTAATGTTCCGTATGATTGCTTACTGGCAGCAAAGTGTTCTTAAGTCATACCAGCTGAGAAGGGCCTTTAATTTGCACGAAGTAGACTTTACTATACTGTATACGTAAAAAAGAACCGTAAGAGGCACAACACAAGAAGCGCCAAACTAAATTTATTCGCTCTATAGCTAAAGTTCTGGCATATCCAAGGTGGAAACAACGAAAATTTTTTTTTCTAAAATTTCTACCCTAACACCTTATCAAAGAACAATGAAAACTAATGTATTGTTATTCATGGCTGGTGAATTTGTATGCGGCATTTATGTCGCCACTGGATTTTTCAATCAAGTGGTTTTAATGCTGCTGATACTTAAATTAAAGTTCAGAACATCTTGACACTTTTTCGCCTTGTTTAGCATTGACAGGTCGAAGATAACTGAAGTACACAAGAAGACATAGAAACTGAAACTAACAAACGACATGGACAATGACATGGACAACGAGCGTCTGACGATTATGAAGATGGAAATCTGGGTTTGTGTTCTTGGCTGGTTTGCCTCCATTCTAACGATGATTGGGAATGGATTTGTCAAAACCAACGCTTTTATTGTTTCTCTCGCAGTTGCAGACTTTCTTGTTGGGATGCACGTTTTTCCTTCTATTTTTTTCTTAGATGTAATCGGCCTAAGTGATCAAGGCTTGTATATCATCTTACTACGGTTGAGATGGCTGTTCCAGGATGCATCAGTTTTGAGTATGTGCAGTTTAGTTCTGGATCGCTACTTAGCCGTTGTGAAACCTTTAAAATACTTAACTTTTATGACTTCAAGACGTGTTATCCAACTTATTTTCTTCTCATGGGGGATCTCAGTAGCTGTTATTTTACTTCAGTCGTTTCTTTTGGTTAAGTTAAATGCATATGTTCTTTATTCTTCTTTCAAAGTGCTGGTTATAGTCATATTTTTCATCTTCCCATGTATGTTGATAATTTTTTGCTTTGCATCGATGTTACGGGTTATCTACAGGCAAAACGGAGAAGCTCGTGCATTAGGAAAACAGGTGCCTTCTAACAACCGACGAGAGAAGTCTGCATTGATAATGATGAGCATTGTCGTTGTCTTGTTCCTCGTTTATTGTGGCGTATACGTCCGCTGTCTCATAACATTTTGGACAAGTCATTGTAGTGAATATAACAAAAGTATAGTTATTATTTTAATTTTAAACTCCGCTGCAAACCCCTTGGCTTATGCCGTTTTCAAAGGTGATATTAGGAAGGAGATCAAACGACTGATCTACAGAGCAACCTTCAGGCAAAGAAAACCGTTTTATTGCAGCTAATGTTTAAAAGTAACTCTTGATAACTGTTGTTTCTCCTATTTGATTGAAATCTTCGTCTACGGAATGACTAGTCCACCTTTAGTATGAGCTCTTTTCTAAACTGTCGTGGTTTCACTATAATGGTGGAATCTTCGGCAAAAAGCAAAAATAGGTTGCAAAAATGCGTCAGTTTCGCCCCTATACCATTTTCAAAGGGAAAATAGCCCATGCGACATATCATCATAATCATCATCCTTCGACTACTTACCAGAGTGCAACACGACATTCGTGGAGATTCCTTCCCAAACATCACAATAATCCAAGCAATCACTTCAGGGTATGTTAGCTTACGTGAATGCACTCTACCCACTGGGCGCCAGAGGGAGACACAGAGTTATCAGATAGCTATCAAAAGACGTTTTAGTGGTAATAAACTCGCTCTTTCTTGATTATTGACATAATGTGAGTTACTTACTTTTCGTGTCATGTTATGATCGCGACACTTATTGCTCGCTTCACTTTAATTTCGCGAATTTTTTTGTATCGCGAAATTCGCGAAATTAACTTGTGGCGAAAATTTCCGCAGTGTAATAAGGTATGCACCAAGATCGGCATTAAAAAACAAAGAGCGTAATACATCAAAAGCTGACTTGCTTGCTCTCTTTTCATTGCACCGTCACATAGCTTGCCTTCCTGCCGGGTAAACTCCATACAAGGTGTACAGGGCTCATTACAAGAATTAATTAAAACTTATACTTTCCTTTCAAAGGAAGCCTGAGAATAAAGCCGGCGTTTCCCTTTTGGCGAGGAGCAAGAGGAGAGGAGAGACGGCTATATTCTCAGGTTAAACCCCAGCAAAACCCAGGAAAGTTATATAAACCTCGAACCTGCAAAAAACACAATTTGCAGCTGTGCCGTATTTGCTTAATTTGTAATTTTTACTTGTGCTCGCCCTCCGTTGAATCAGATCAACTAAAAATATTGTTATCTAAGGGAAAATACAAAACCATCTTCTAATTGGTCCCGAATATGACTAAAGCGTGTCGTCGATATCCATTATTTTGAAGCAGATTGCAATTATGAAAAAAAAAAAGAAATTCCAACCACGTGACCTTCGGACATCAAAGGCACGCCTTCACAGAAATCTTTAATTCATTGTCATTGCTATTTCTTCCATATCAACTTACCTACAAAATGGTTTGGAAATTTGAAAGCCTTAATATATAAACATTTCAGCAAACTGAACAACTGCTCATAAGGTTGTTGGATTGAAATTACTTGAATGTCATTTCCAGACAACTGAAGGGACGATGAACGGCTAATATGAAGATGGAATTATTGTGGCTTTGGATTCTTGGATGGTTTGTTTCCATTCTAACGGTGATTGGCAATGGGTTTGTCATCCTTCTGGTCTACAGCAAACGACATCTCAGAACCAAAACCAACGCTTTGATTGTTTCTCTCGCAGTGGCGGACTTTCTTGTCGGCTTACACGTGATTCTCTTGATGTTTTCCTTAGAGGTAATCGGTCCCAATTACCCCAAAGTTTTAGATAAAGGCTTGTATATCATCTTACGGTTGAGGTGGCTTTTTCAGGATGCATCAATTTTGTGTATGTGCAGTCTAGTCCTGGATCGCTACTTAGCTGTCGTGAAACCTCTAAAATACTTGCGGTTTATGACTTCAAGTCGCGTTATCCAACTCATTTCCTTCTCATGGGGGGCCGCAGCAGCTTTCATTTTGCTACAATCGTTCCTGTGGGTTAAGTCAAGAGGACCCCTCGTCGTTGACACTTTCCGGTGGCTAGTTATTATCATATTTCATGCCTTCCCATGTGTACTGACATTTTTTTGCTTTGCATCAATGTTACGGGTAATTTATAAGCAACGCAGAGAAGCACATGTCCTCGGTAGACAGCGACCGTTCAACAACAGACGAGAGAAGTCTGCATTGATAATGATGAGCATTGTCGTTGCCTTGTTTCTTGTTTATTGTGCAATTTATATCGGCTGTGTTCTAAAAGTTATAACCGATGAATGCGATGTTTATATTCAGAGAATTGCTCTTTTTACAGTAATTTTGAACTCTGCTGTAAACCCATTGGCTTACGCTTTCTTCAAGCGGGATATCAAGAAGGAGATAAAAAAATTAACTTGCAGAACGTCCGTAAGAAGAGCCAAGTGAATCGAAGATGCCAACAAGATAATAGTCCGAGTCTAGCTCTTGGGATATGTGAAAGTCACCAAAGTTATTTCTAGACCAACTAAACGTTTGAAGTTAATCGAAAGTTGGTTTCCGGAAAGGTCAGCAAACTTTTATTCAGTGTTGTTAAGAGAGAATTTATCAGTCGCCATTACAACATTCAGTTCTGCATTATTTGCTTGAAGCAGCCTCTCGTTGACTTGATAAGGTTTCAAAAAATTGATTGAAAGGTGCGGACGTCCCAGGAATTAGAAAATAATTCACATAAAATGATTTTCTGATATGTAAACAGACTTGACAGCTGGCTTCTCAAATTTGACATTTTCATTGTTGTAATGTACACACATTTTTAATTTGTGCCTTCTGTGTTTGTTTAATTTTAGATCATGTTCTAAGCAAGTCTGGTTGTTTCGCACTATAGAAAAGGTCTTAAATGACAGTAAAGAACAACAGATTGGGTAACCTGTGGTGACAAAACTCCAAGAGAAAGCCGTACGAATTAGGACCTTGAAAACAAAGAGGGTACACTGTAATACACTAGAAGACTAATTTCCTCTCTTTTCAATAATGCACTGCCACGCTGCTCGCCTTCCTGTCAGGTACCCTTCATACCAGGTGCACAGGGCTCATTTACAAGAATTAAGTAAAACTTATTTCCCTTTAAGGCGGCCCGAATCTATTTATATGCGTGTTGGTTATGGTTTTGATTTGTGTTTTTCCGAATGAAAGGTTCAACCAGTTTCTATGATTTTTGGCATCCCTTATAAGCAATAATGGAACTTTAAGAAAATGTTATTTATTATTTTGTAAGTATAAAAACCTTTGAGATATCGGCATATATTTAAAACCGCATTTTTACTAAAAATGCAAATAACTTCGAAATCCCACGACAGTTTTTCCCTATTAAACTTAAGCAAACAAACCTCGATTAGAGCTCTTTAGTTTTACATCTGCAAGTTTGAAGGCAATCGTGACCGTAGAACTCGCTGCACAAAATGCTGGTCAAATTTAACTTTAAAGTGCTACGCTAACACATTTGTGAAAGTTCACGCATGAATAGAGGTAGAGCGCCGACAGACTATCTCCTATCTGAAAGGATATTCCTACCTAAAGCAATTTATTGCGAGAAAAATCACAATATAATTAGCACTATAAGAAGAACATAATTAGCACTATAAGAAGAACAACTTTATGCTGAGTGCGCGGGAATATTAAAGAACTTCTATTCATCAAACTTAAGTTGTATTTGTCCCTCTCTTTTGGAAACAAATCTTAAAAAGCATAATATAGCGTCTACGAAAAACTGCCAAGAGTTTTTTTGCATCGCAGGTTCCTGTTTTGAAGAGAAATAAGGCCATCAACTCCAGTACTTCTAACCATCCATTTTTCAGCTGCAATGAAAACCCTTGTATTTGGTAATTTATTCAAGCTTTTAAGACTTACCAGCACATTCGCGCGGGAAGTTTACCATTTGGGAATAAAGATGAAGACAATATATATATGACAATCGTCTTATTCTTCTCATCAGTATCCTCAACAGCAAATTGCCCGTGCGAATGTGATGGGAAGTCTTAAAAGCGTGAATAAATTACCAAATAACCTTTTTTCATTGCAGCTGAAAAATGGATGGTTAGAAGTACTGGAGTTGGTGGCCTTATTTCTCTTCAAAACGGGAACCTGCGACGCTAAAAAATCTTGACAGTTTTTCGTAAAGGCTATATTTTGCTTTGTTAAGATTTGTTTTCCAAAAGAGAGGGACAAATATAAAGGAAGTTTGATAAATAGAAGTTCTTTAACATCACTGCGCACTCAGCTTAAAATTTTTCTTCTTAAAGTGCAAGCTGTATTGGCCTAAGCTTCTGATTACTCTGTTTCTTGCATAAAGCTTTAGCTAGGAATCTCCTTTCAGATAGGGGTTAGTCTATCGGCAGTCTTCGTCTATCTATTTGTGCGTCAACTTTCACAAATGTGTTAGCGTAGCATTTTAAGGTTAAATTTGACCAGCATTTTGTGCAGCCAGTTCTACGGTCACGATTGCCTTCAAACTTGCAGATGTAAAATTAGAAAGCTCTAATGCTTATTTGCTGAAGTTAGGGAAAAATCTGTCGTGGAATTTCGAAGTTATTGGCATTTTTCGTAAAAATGCGGTTTTAAATATATGCCAATATCTCAAAGGTTATTATACCTACAAGAAAATAAATAATTACAATTTTCTTAAAGTTCCATTATTGTTTATTAAGGATGCCAAAAATCATAGAAATCGGATGAATCTTTCATTCTAAAAAACGTAAATCAAAAACATAACCAACAGGCATAGGTTCGGGCCACCTTAAATTAAAGATAATTTGATGAATGCAAAACCCTAGCAAAACCCAGGAGAGTGACCCTCGAACTAAACTTACCCCTCATAAATAAAAAAAAACAGGTCCAGTATTGTAACGTAGACAATCTGCCTGGAGCTGTGGGTATTTGAGTAATTGACTTTCTACTTCTGTAATGGTTTGTCGTGTTCTGCTCAAAACTAGTGCACTCTTCAGGAATTTCTTAGAGAAAATAGAAAACCATCCTCTGATTGGTCTAGAACATGACAAAAATTTGTGGTCGATGTCCACTATTTTGTGGCAGATGGCATTTTTTGAAACAAAAACAAAACAGAACTTCATTTTTACCAGCAACATGACGTTGGAAAAGCAATGGTTTATTGCCAAACGGTTCAGCTACAGAATGGTTAGTCGGTCTGAAAACCTTCTTCAAGTATTTTAGGACACTGATCAGTCAAGTGTTCCTCAAGTTATTTGTTTGAAATTAGTTGAAACTCATTTCCTGACCAATGAATGGACGTTGAATGGCTTGTGTTTTCTCACCATTCTGCCCTTACTTTAAAAAAAAAGAAAAATAATAATACCTGATTATTAGGATTTACCAATTCTAGGAGATTAAGGGACTAAGTAAACATATATCCAGGATTAGCTTTTATAGCATCGGATTCAAAAAACAGAATGTGCTTGCTTTAATAGCCTGCGCATCCTTTGATGAACATATTGTCACGTGTCTTAGTGTCTTATTTGCCGACTAGAAAACAGCTAGACCTTGTGCTCCTTAAATGGGCCCTTTTAGGGATTTCCGAGGTAAGCAGGAATAAATGGACAAACAACTTAAGGAATATGTAAGTAATAATTAATTTTTAAAATTTTACAAATGACTTTTAAATGTCGTAATCAAGTAGCACCGTCCTATCTAAGTGACCTCTTAATTCGCTATAGACCATCAAGGACATTACCTTCGTCTGATAAAGAAGCCTCGCTGCCATCTTAAAACATATAGGGAGCGAGCTTTCTCCTTTATTGCCACAAAACTGTGGAATACCCTCCTATTAAGTATAAAACGTTGCAAGTCTCCAGAATCTTTTAAATCCACTCTTAAGACGTACAATTTTAGAAATTAATTTGAATTGTAAGAATCATTAAGTATTGCGTTTTTTCAGGCTCTTTTATGTTACCAAGTTTTCTTTATCATTCACTGTTGTAAAGCGCTGTTGGTTCAGTAGAGAAACAGGGCTATATAAGATGATGATGATTATTGTTATTATTATTATTATTATTATTATTATTATTATTATTATTATTATTATTATTATTATTATTATTATTATTATTATTAACAAACGAAAAAAGTTAGGGGTAAACTTCAAGGAGAGACAGCTAGTGGCTTGAAGTGGCGGACATTCTTGTCAGCTTACCCGTAATTGTTTTTGATAGAAGTGATCGATCGCAGTTACCCCAACAGCGGACCCTTTGTCTTCGATACCTTCCGATTCCTGGTTGTTATCATTTTACGTGCCTTTCCATAACTGACTTTGTTTTTTGTCTTGCATCAATGTTCCGGGTAATTTATAAGAAACACAATGCCGCACATACCCTGAGACAGCTACCTTTCAACAACCGCCGCGAGCATTCAGTATTGATTGTGATAAACATTGTCATAGCCATTTTTCTTATTTATTGTGCACTTCATACCCGTTGTACCACAAAATTCATAACTGATGAATTCGATAGCTATATTCGCAGAATAGCTGTTTTTGCAGTAGTTTTGAACTCTGCTGTAAACTCCTTGGCCTATGCTTTGTTCAAGCAGGATATCAAGAATTGAGGGAGATCAAAAAATTAACTTGCAGAGCGACCGTGAGAGGAGTCCAGTGAAATACCTTAGATAACTAAGAATGATGCTGAAGGGCATTTCTATTTCAAACCTGAATATAAAAAGTACGAAGTTCGAGCAGGCAACCATTACTGTTAACTATAGGCAAGGTCGCAAAAGACTAAGAGAGAATAATCAAGGGAGAGAAACGCTCAGTCTAGCCCTTGGGATATGTAAATTTCACCAAAGTTATTTAGGTTTAGGCCAATTAAACGCTTGAAGTTATAATCGAAGGAGTCTGAGTTATCCCAGTTCGAGAGTCACTGGGTTTCTACTCTACTACAATTGTACCTTCTTTCTACGACAGATTCAGTGAAACAAAATATACATATACCTTTTAAGGC